CACAGAGATAGAGGCAGAGACACAGGCAGAGGGAGAAGGAGGCTCCATGCAGGGAGCCTGAAGTGGGACTCGATCTTGAGACCACAAGATCACGCCCTGAGCCAAAGGCAGACGCTCAACTGCTGAGCCACGCAGGTACCCCTCCAAGTGCCTAATGGATCAGTAAGTCCCTTCCCCTCAAGAGCTCACTGTCTGGTGTGGAAGACAGACATTTCCTCCTCTATTAGAAGATGGAGGAAGAAAAGAACTCAGAGTTCCAGGTTGTTCCAAGGAGGGAGACTCACTCAACTTAGGAACCCAGAAAAGTCTTCCCAGGGCCCCGGTGGTCTGAGGTGAGCCTTGAAAGCAGGGTAGAGTTTTGACAGGTGAGAAAGAAGAGCCTGGCAGGCTAAGGGCCTGGCATGGGCCAAGGTGTGGAAGGGAAGTGGAGGGTGTGTGTTGGGACCTGTGAGCAGACCCGGGCAGGAAAAGGCCCTGCGGTGCCCAGGCTCGGCCTCAGTCCAGCTCTGCCTCTGTCTACGCTGTTCTTTGCGGATGGTTGGCTGTCCCCAAGAGGCAGGGCTTCCCCAGGGACGGGGGGTGGGGTAGGGTGGTGGTCGCTGTGCCTCAGCATATAAAACCCCTTTTCTGGGCACCTGGGTGGCTCAGAGGTTGAGGATCTGCCTTCGGTTCAGGGCGTGATCCTGGGGTCCTGAGATCGAGTCCCACACTGGGCTCCCTGTGGGGAGCCTGCTTCTCCCTCTGCCTGTGTCTCTGCCTCTCTGTGTTTCTCATGAATAAATACATAAAATGTTAAGAAAAAACCCACAGCAACTCCCTTTCCCTGTGCGATCTCCCCGTCCTCCACCACAGTGGGAGCACGCCTCAAGGAAACTCCACCTCGAAAATGCACTCCTTGAAGAAATGGGCAGCTTGTCCCTCCCTGGTTCTTCTTTCCCTGCTCTTCCCCTTTGTGAGCACCTTCTTTCCAGATTCACTCACACTGGCCCACCCTTCCCTTCTTTTCAGTGGTGTGGAGCCGAGGCTGCTTGACTCTTGGGGTGTCTGAAGGGTGTCCAGGGGCCGGGCCAGGGAGGGTGGCCAGCCAGGCTGTGCTGTGCGGATGGTGCATGGGCAGGGGTGCAGGGAGCTGGAGACGCGGGAGGGTGGGGTGAACCTCACCATGGCAGCACAGTGTCCCTAAACACTTGTGAGGCTCTAGGGACTCCCCCTGTGTGCCAGGTGGTTAGACCTGTATCACTTTCCACTGATGAATTTAGCAGTATAGACACCAATGAGAGAAAGGCTGCCATCCTGCCCTAGGAGAGCTGACCCCACTCACTGAGCCCGTCGTCTCCGGCTACTTGGAGTCCTGTCCTTTGGGGTTATGGAGCACGCACATGCAACACACGGTTTTGCAATGCCAACTCCATGCATCATACTGTCACAGCCATGTAGCTCTAGCTAGAGGGGCAGGGAACGAATGCTCCAGTGTCCTGGTCCTCCCGGATGCCGCCCGGTCAGCAGAATCAGCAGGTTTCGGGTCGTTAGAGGTCACCCTGGAGGTTTGCAAGCCTCCAGGTAGGCAAACGAAGTCACTTCCTCGTTTGACATCTGGGGAAACTGAGAGCTGGAATAAGTTGTCCCATGCCACATAGTTGACAATGGAGGCAGACTGGAAGCTGAGCCTCCTGACTTGATGGCGAGCGCCCTCCCCCTCCGTGGACTCACCCGACGTCCCCCCACGTCTGTGGCACCTCAGTCTGCCAGGTGAAGTGAGGGGCCCTGGAAGGGAGGCCGGCCCTCAGCCTGGCAGGGAGGAAGCAGTGCACGAGGCAGAGGTGTGGCGGTGTGGACACGTGTGGAGGGAGCCATTCCTTCCTAGGGAGTCTTCCTTTGGCCCACATGACTTCAGAGACACAAGTCACTGACCTTGGTGCGAGCAATTATTTGGGCCTAGACCACTTCGATCCACTGTCCCCGTGGGGGCACTGGCTCAGTCTTTTGTTCAGCCAGGTGTTCGCAAGCCTCCAGGTAGGCAGTGCTGGGCCATAACATGGTACCTGAGGCAGAGCGCAGGGCTGGACAGAGCAGTGAGCCACAGGTTACAGGGGTGGGGCTTGGGTGCATCATTCACTTCCTGGGCCAGCAGTTCTCAGTAGAAGGGGCTGCAAAGTCCCAGGGAGGCAGTGAGGGTCCCTAACCTCTGTGAATGCTCTCTGGTACCAGCCCCTGGCACCTGGTACTCCTTGTGCTTCTGGTCTGCTGGCATTAGTACTGATCCCCAGCGACTCTGCAGACTTCTTGACCATTGGGTTCCCTACTTCTTTTTTTTTTTTTTTTAATATTTATTTATTTGTTTATATATTTATTTATTTATTTATTTATTTATTTATTTATTTATTTATTATAGACACAGAGGGCGGGGGGCAGAGACACAGGCAGAGGGAGAAGCAGACTCCATGCACCGGGAGTCCGACGTGGGACTCGATCCCGGGACTCCAGGATTGCGCCCTGGGCCAAAGGCAGGCGCCAAACTGCTGAGCCACCCAGGGATCCCAGGGCTCCCTACTTCTAATCTCCCTGCATTCCGTTTGACACAGGGACAAGCTGAGTGAAGGTCCCAGTTGGAGACGCCCAAGAGGAGTCCTGAAGTCAGGAGTCCTCAGGTACACAGCTCTCGGCCCCTGCAGAGGGGAGGTCCTGGCTGAGGATACACCAGGCACCAAAGCTCATGGAGAGACAACGAGCTTGCATACGCAGAGTCTGCCCCAGTGAACGGCCACCCACTGGGCAGGGCCTCGTGGCCACTGAAACCAGGCCCTCTTTTAGTCTCCAACCACTAGGCAGCTTGAAGTGACATGTGTGGAGGGCCTTCCCAAGCCCATCTGGGTCTGTCACCTCCTCTGTACTTATTTCTCCTTGGCACTGGCTTTTAAATTTTTCCTCAAATGTATTTCTGTGCTATTCTCTGCATTCCTGCGAGGGGCCTTGGATCCCTGAGGTGCTAGCTGGGGGGCGGGTAATAAGGAAATGAATTAACACCAGGACTGAAATCAAGTACAAGAGCCTTCTACTTGGCCAGTTTACCTGGGCATTCAGCTTGCACAGTGCCCGGGCTCTGGAGCCTTCCAGCCAATGTTTGACTCTAGTCTGAAGCCATCAGTGGGCTCGGATCGCTCCAATGAGAGGCTGAAAGGGAGCAGGTTTACGAGACCCAGGTACCCTGATTCTTCAGGACCTCCATTGGGGTAGATGGAAGCAAAAGGAAGGGATGAGGAGGCAGCCCTGCAAGTGGTGGAAATGGGCAAATCTCGGGGAGCAGGTGTGGGCAGGGCTGCATTGTGACTTTTGTGGGCTGTAGACACTTTTGCCTTTGTGGCAAAAATTAGATTTTAGGACTGCTCTGGTAGAAAGATGAATATAACCCTGGTTGGATTCATTATTAGAGACTCATTTTTTTCTCCCCTGAATTGAAAAGAAATGAAAATGGAAGTATTTTCTTAGCCCCTGAAAATACTATGGGCCCGGGCCTGTGGCACTTTGTCTGATGAATCGGCCCTGCCTCGGGGTGAGAAGCATCCCTGGACTCAGGATTACCTGGAAAAGGCCACATCCTAGCGACCTCCCAGCATCGGAATAGCAAGCATGCCAGCTGGCAGCTTCTGCCCTGTGAGGGAGGGGACAGGTGAACTCTGTCCAATGACCAGAGAGGCCAGCTCTACTTTGCTTGTCAGACGAGGAAGCTGAGACCCAGAGGAGAAAGCCGTCTGATTCCCCAAACATGGAGTGGTCGGCCATCTAGAGTGGGAATGTTGGGATGGTTGGTCCATGGGGTCTGGGCAGCCCGTGGTCCCATTACTGCAATGTGGCAAGGGTCTCACGAACGTGAAGGCCCCTCATATAGAGTTCGTGTGACTGTGTGTACAGAGTCTGAGCTTAAGTTTGCCATTGTCCTGTCTATGAAGAAAGGATATATTAAGAAAAATTAAAACTAAAATTAAATAAAAAGGGGGGATGTTTATAATACTCAAGCAGTTTGTTATTTTCAAGTCCTGAAGCAGCACCAACTTATGTTTTAAAACATCAAACAGGGGCTCCTGGGTGGCTCAGCAGTTGAGCATCTGCCTTTGGCTCAGGTCGGGGTCCTGGGATCAAGTCTCGCAACAGGCTCACCATAGGGAGCCTGCTTCTCCCTCTGCCTATGTCTCTGCCTCTCTCTGTGTGTCTCTCATGAATAAATAAATAAATAAAATCTTAAAAAAAAACCCGAACAAAAAAACCATTGAACAGTAAACCTGTGTGCCACACCACAGGTAGTACTCATGTAGACTTTAAGGCAGGTTTCCTGAGACCTTTACTAAGGTGTGTGCTATGAATAGAACTCTGTAAGACTCTATTTATTTATTTAAAAAAATTTTTTTAAAGATTTTGTGGAGCCCCATGCAGGACTCGATCCCAGGGCCTTAGGATCACAACCTGAGCTAAAGGCAGATGCTCAACCACTGAGCCACCCAGGTGCCCTAAAACCCTATTTATTAAAAAAATAACACAACTTCGGATTGCCAATCTGGCCCAGATCTGTGAGTATATTCTGAATACTCTTGTTGGAGTGGAATGGGAATAGAGGCACACCTCTCAGCAGCTAGGGGTGAGTGGGCCTTGCAAATTTGCATTAAATGAACAGCCACCAGCAGCAATGGCTGTTACTACCAACTGCCTCTCAAAAGAGAGAACACAACACCGAACGCAGTAACAAATAGCCCTTTGGGATTCTGGAGACCCAGCGGATTTCAGCAGAGCTGAACTGGAACTTGAAATGCTCCAATGGCACCATAATGAACTTGGGATGTGTTACATACCAGAGGCCTTGCTTAAGTGACCCCCCTTCCCTCTGTTGGATCTCACATTTCCATACGTTCCCCTATACCTCTGAGGACCCTTGCTTCTGGGACTTCCTGCTTTCACAAGAAAGAATGTATTTAATGTAATGATTGATCAGGATCATGAGTTGCCAAGTTTCATTTTTTTTTTAATAATAAGAGTTTAAAATATTCTTAGACACACCTAGTTGGCAAACACCACTGACGTCCACTTTCCCGTGAGTTCACACATAAGCTAGCCAGCACCTGGGTGTCGGCTGGCCCCCTTTGGCACCAGAACACAATAATTTATTAAGTTTCAATACTTAATAAGTGTGCACAAATATCATGCAAACATATGCCCATACTCACAAACAAAAAGTGTATTAGAGTCGTAGACGTATACAAAACATCTTGTAAACAAAAGGAAAGAGGTTGGCATTTTCTGTACAAAATATGCAGGTTTTTCTTTTTCTTTTTTTTTTTAATAATCTGTAAGATGCATCATACTTCTGGCATTTTCAAAAAGTGAAAACTGTATAAAAATAAATATTCTATGTACAAACACACACACAGGCCAATCCCAGGTTAGAGGCATCACTGCAAAACAAAAACACACAAAACGATGTAGAGTTAGTGTTCATGGGTCTCTGGGTGTCTATTTCCCTTGTGGGAAAGGAGGGTGCTCTTTGCAGGTTTGGGGTGGAGGGCAGCTCTGGATGGGGGAACCATGGCCCCCCGGGGGAAGATCCTGGTGCTGTCTGCACCCCCAAAGCAGAAAATCATTTTCGCCTTCCTGTCACCCCCTTCTTGGACACTAGAGGGCACCTGCTCCCCATGTGGCCTTTGAAGGTGCCTCTTTTGATGAATTATTGCATCTTCACAGACTGAACCTATGGCGTGAACCAACAGACAGGAGGCTCTCTGGTTGCTTCCCCAAGACACTGCAGCTCTCGATAGTGGCTCTTCTTCCCCTCCTAAGCTCAACCACTTCCATCTCCTAACCATCAGCAGCAATTGTGAAGAAGGAAATCTTGTAAACACCTCATTCGATGCGCTTCTTCCCTGTGTTGATGGAGTTTTAACCAGGTCTAGGGGAACCCACCAAAGGGATGAGGCATGGCTGGAGGGGTGGGTTCTCAGGGCGCCATCTCCCTTGAGACTGAGCTTTCCCTTTCTCTGGTCAAGGATGTGTTGGGTACCTGGGTGCATAGGGACTCCGCCTTGGGCCTGGTGGAGCCATCCTGGTGGCTTCACTACTTTTAACTCAGTCCTGTGAACTGATGAGACTCTGGGCATTTAGCACAGAGGAGCTCTTCGTCTGACTGTTAGTGTGCTCTGCTGTCACTGAGACAGGGCTAGATTAGCTAAGCACAAACTCTTGGACATGCTGGGGTCTCCAGCCCTTTCATGAGGACAAACCAACACCTTGAGACCATGTGGGATTGTGAGCAATCTCAGCGGGAGCAGGGTGGAGGGAGGCCGCAGAGGGAGGGTGAGCAGCACGGCAGCTGCTACCTTTGCTTCGGACCTGACTGGGCTTCTGGATTAGCAAACTGATGGCCCTTGTCAAGTTGACACACAAGTCCTACAGCCCAGCTCCTCCTGAGGTCCCACTCAGTCAGGGCTCTGACTGAGTGGGGTGATTTCATGCGGGGGCAAAGCCCTGTGTTGTCAGCTTTAATAATGGTGAAGGGGCAAAGAAATGAAACTCACTACCGGTAGGAATTCTGGGACCTCAGGAGAGGCTGGGCTGAAGGACTTGTGTGTGCAAGCATGAAGCTCTGGCAGCTGAAGTTCAAGGGAGAAGGGTAGAGTAATGGACCGGCCAGTCTCTACGAGGAGGTAGAGAAGCTGTGTGAGGGTACAGGTTAAGCAACACAGATTTCCGACATCTGGATAAATGTCACCATGTGGCTTAATGGCTTCAGTGACCACGTATGAACACTGTGAGAATTGCTACTGGTAACTAATTTTCAAATTAGTTGGTCCAGTAGTCCTTGGAGGAAAGGTGCTGAGCAGATTAACCACATCACGCATAAAGATGTCAGCTGTGTGGCTACATGGAAATTTCATACTCGAGGGTCTGCTGAGGCCTTAAAAGGCATTTTTTAAAAGTTCTCTGAGTGCAGTGTGTGGGATGTCTAATGGGCACCTTTGGGATCGTTCAAGGGGAAGGGTAAGTGGTGATTGTTCCTTTGGGATCGTTTCTTTCTCGACCTATGTCATTTGCAGAGAGGCCCAGGACGGAAATTGCATGTGCTTAATCACACTTGAGAATGGAGCCGCAAGTACACCAGTGCCCCCAAGAAGCCGCAAACCGCTGGGCAGCCTTACCTTGTTCCAACAGCCCTGGACCGGTAAGCCGTCTTCACCCTGCAGTGAGGAAGGAAGGCAGACGGCTCAGACTCTGACACAGCTCCCCAGGCAAGTGGGATGGTGTGGGGTGGGGAGACAAGGGCCACAGATACTGTGGCAGCGGATCAGGACACAGCCCATCTGTTGTCTACTTCTCTGCTCCAGGGCAGAGCCTCGGAAGGGGGGGAAGCAAGCCAGGGGGACTTCCCATTGACTAGGGTCACCTGTAGTTACAGTGCAAGGCCAGGAGGGGCTGCCCCAGCCTGTGGGGTCAGCGGGCAGGGTGACCTGAGTGCCCTGTTAAGGACAGCCCTAAGCCCCGCGGGTCTCTGCTCTGGCTGGACTGAACACCAGGTGCTCTCGGGTAAGTCGCTCAGCACTTGGTGGCCTGTCTCTTCCTCTGCAAAACCTGGGGAAGGCACGGCTGTATGAAATGGTCGCTAAGATGCCCCCAGTCTTGGTTGCCTCTCTTTCTTAGCAGTAGGAGGACGTGTAGGCAGGTCCCTTCTGATAATCAATAAGGAGGAAGACGGGACATGAAGGGGCAAGCATCCTCACAGGTATTGCAACGTGGTCCTGAGATACAAAATGGGGAAAATGGAGCTGAACTGGGACAAAGATCTGGTTTTCAGTATGTGTCTACTCGAATCGCAGCCCAGATTCTAGAACTCACACTCCAGGGCACAGAAAGGATGGACACAGGGTTTCAGGGGACCGGAGCCAGTGGTCAGCCCAGAGGAGGGTGAATGGGAGCCCTCTGTGCCCCAGGCCGATTTCATCACCATGGCAGGTGCCTAAACCTCTCACCTGGCATTCCGCAGGCAGCCGGCCCGACCCAGAGGCCGAAGAAGCCTGGTTATCTTGTACTGAGATAGATCCCCCCGCCCCCCAAGTCCACGATAACACAGCGCAGGAGACCGGGAGAAGACCAACAATGAGAAACATGACAGGGAAGATATAGACACTTCTACAGCAAAATTAATAGACGAAGGACACATCGATATGGGATGTTACTTGGAGAAAACCCCGGTTTGCATGAAGGACCAAATAAAGATGACCTTCATTGTCCCCTTTGGGTCAGGGAGGGTCCGCAGGGGAAGGTGGTACATTCCAGGGCTTCATGAAGACCTTCTGCCCCTTTCCCCAGCCCGCCACGGTGCAGCACTTCACATGGACTCTGGAAGGGAGAGGAGCCTCCGAGGGCCACGGCGGCATTCCCATTGGCACATGATGGTGACAGGGGCACAGAGGGGCGTGAGGCAGGCAGAGGGAGGGTGGGAAAGAGGAGCAGGTGGCTGGGGCTGCAGCAAGCAGAACTCACGGAAGGCATGTGGCAGACGGGAGACCTGGCTGGTGGTTAGTGGAGGTGCTTTGGAGGGACCGGGAGTCCTGTGGTTGCATGCTCGGGTTGCATGCTCAGGTTGCATGCTTGGGTTCATCTGGCCGGGTGATGGGGAAGTGGGGTGGCGAGCAGGGATTTCAGAGATGGGGAAACAGAGAGCAAGCTACTCTGCGCTCTTCTTGTGTTGTGTATACTGGTCCTAAAATTCTCTTCATGGAGCTCTGTGGTCACGTCGCAGGGTCACACAGCATAGTTTCTCATAACTTGCCCTCTTGTCTTTAGAGAGAATTCCCATGTGACCCTGGGGCGGGATGTGGGACCCAGAGTCCTCATCTGGGGACATGCATGGAGAGGGTTCCTAAGTGCCTCCCCATCTCCTCCCTTCTTTTCCTCAATGACACCCCCAACCTTTCTATTCTCTTCCAGACTTGCCAGTGGTGAACCATTTAAAGATGAAAGGAAGGGAAACCAAGGGAGGATCTTCTAGTGTCTTCCAGGGTTTCAGCAAAAGGGATGAACCCTTTAGCATCTAAAAATCCTGATCTTGGACCATCCCCTGGTTCTGGGGGTATCACTGGGGCAGCGACCCCAGACCCAGCCTGGAAGAACAGGCAGGGTGGCCCCGTCCCCTACTTCAGTTCTAGAACTTCTCAGTCCACCTGTGTTTATGAATATGCTCGTCTGTCCTGTGCCACCTCCTGAGAGATGGTGGAGCGGGAAGGGGGGTGGGACCGGCTCAGGCATCTCATTCAAGGGTTTTGCCAGGCGCTCAGCTGATGCTTGCCGAACCAACCACAGTGTGTGAAGGAAGAGAAGTCACAGTTGCTAAGAACCTGTCCAGAGAATCCGCTTCCCTAGGTTTCTTTCTGGGGGCAGGTTTGGCTGGAAGCAGCTGTGAAAGGAGCTAATATTCCATTATATATATAATGTGATGTATATCACATCCTCTTTAGCAGATGCAGCCAAAGCTGGCTTTGGGGTCGAGTAGGATGGCTTGCATTCAGAGGATGTGCTTTTGAAGCAGCTGCAGGAAGAAGCCAAGAAACCATCCTGGCAAACTTTGCATGCTCAAGGGGGCATGGTGGGAGCCCTGGAGGACCAGCCAGGGCAGGGTGACCCTTAGAGAAAAGGGGCAGGAGGCGTGCGGTGATGGTGGGGGTGGGGGTGGGCGTCCGGGGAGACATGCAGGCAAGAACCACACACGTGGGGAAGCCTGAATCGGCCATGCAGGCAGGGGATGGTGATGCCATACCAATGGGCATGGGGCATCCAGTCCGTCCAGCCCTGGTAACCCCGGCTCCCCTTTCTCTCCTTTAAAACCTCGGTGTCCCTGTTCACAAAACCAACCACGATGATTATTTAGGTCAAGGCTGGCCAGCTCCGACTGTGGAGTGGAGAGGCCGAAGTCCTACCCCAGCCAGGATGCAGGACCCTGCAGGTATCTACAAGTAGGGCCCAAATCTCAACTGATTCCCAGTTTCCAAACTCAGCTTTTGTGCATTCTTTGGCTTCCTCACGAGCTGAGCTTTGGAACATGTACAACCAGCCCCCTCTCCGTTTAAAGATTCACTTGGAATAATCACAGATGAACTTCAAATTTAGTGCATCATAATTTGCAGAACCTTCAAACGGATTGTGAAGGCAGTTGAGAAGCCCAGCTCACGAGCCCCAGATCATTCCTAATAAGCATGTTTGGGGGTGCTTCCTGGGGGGTAGTCCATCTACTGACTTTGGTCTGCTGGCTAGTGGGCATTGGGAGGCCGTATATTAAAGGCCTCCTTTCTGGCCTTGTTCTACCCCAGGGGCATAGATGGACACCCAGGTCCGAGTGTCCTGCATCCTGACAGAGGATTCCGACAGCTTGAACTGTTGGCCACAGAGGTGGTCACAAAACGAAGAAGGCAAATGTTTGGCTCACAAACGCTACACTGGCTTCCAAAGCCATCCTGGAGCAAAGAGTTGAAGCCTGCTCCAAAATCCCTTTCCTTGGGAGTAAGTTCTTATTTCCATACACCAATTGTTCTGCATCTTCAAAGGAAAGGGATTTAGCCAGAATGACTTGCAGCTGTGGTTGGAGGGTACCACCAACAGCGCAGATTCTCCTTGGCCAAGTGAACAGACTTGGTAGCATCAGTGTAGACAGTCACTTGTCGTCTTAGCTTATTTGCCGTCTTCGTTTCCAACTTGCAAACCTCAAGGAAGAACACCAGAACAATGCAAGTGATAAATGAAGACATACCAACGGGCAGGGGGCATCTAATCCAGGCGCTCCTTGGTCTCCCTTATCCCCTTTGGGCCCTCTAGAGCCTTTCTTCCCCCTCTCCCCCTGCAAATAATGGTTTAGTCCGAGAGAAAAAAATAACATCAAAACTTTAGGATCATTCACGTGTTATGGTTAGAAACAGAAAAAGGAAAAAAAAATAGCATCTCTTAATTAGGATATTCTTCCCAATTGGATTTGAGGCCAGCACCCCTCCCCATCTCTCTAGAAACTGGGAACTTTGGCTAAAGCTGGTGGGGGCGGGGAGAGGAGGAAATCGGACCTGGGGGTTCAGAGCTGGAAGGGGAGGGAAATGCAGTGGAAGTTATTTGGGGTCAGTTTTGCTTATATGGAGCCCAAAGTGGGCCTGTGATCAACAGAGGGACCGATTTCCTTCTCTTGGAAGGATTCGTTTTTGAAAGACTTTGAACTGACAACTTTTGTCCCAATAGGTTTTCTTCTCTTTGATATTCTATTAGGAAGCAAGATCATTTTATTTAGAGCCGTGGTGTGTGTGTGTGTGTGTGTGTGTGTGTGTGTGTGTGCGTGCATACACAAGTGTGTGTGAACACGGTCCACGTGAATGTGTGCACATACACGTCTGCACGTATGGGTGTGTGATTGTGTGCTTGGGCAGGTGTCTACAAGTGTATGCATGTGCATGAGTGTACAAGTGTATACATGTACGTGTGTGTCCAGGGCTCCTGGTTAACCCAGGCTCTCAATCAGGTCCTCTCATCGTATGTCTGTCTCTGGTCCACCCTGGTCTGAATCCGAGGCAGCTATTTGTATATAGAGAAGCTGGTTCAAGGAACTCTTCTGTTTCTGAGAAACTTGGTAAGCATCATCTTTCTAAATCGAACCCCATTTTGTACATATCAGGATCACTCTCTATTTCAAGAAGGGCTGTGGGGAAGAGTTCGTGATGAATTTGAGTTTGGATTTTCATGTTGGGTCTCCTTGTAAAGGGGCCAAATGTGCCCATGGGGCGTCTTCTTGGGAACGGTTCTCCTCTACTACAGGAGGCTGACTGTCTAATGTTGGGGGGTTCCTCGTGCTACTCGAGGTGGATGAGGCCTTGAAGGCAGGTGGCACAGTGATCAGAAGAAAGCCTTGGAGCCAGAGCGGGTCCTGCCTCTTACCAGCAGTGTGTCTTTGGGAAGTTACTAAACCTCTCTGAGCCTTATTTTCTTCACCTGTAGAACGTGGATAATAACACCTGCCTCAAAACTTTGTTGTGATGTCTTTGTGCACGTTAAGGACTTACTAGTGGCATAGAGTATGTGCTCGTAATGAGAGCTGCTTCATGATGATTACAGTAGTGACGACTACTTCTCACGAGCCAGTGCTGGAGCGAGGCTGCCGCCAGCCATATGACCTGGCATGTCTACTGTGTTCCCGTAGTGGAAGGCTCCACAGTTCCTGAGGGGGAGGTCAAGGACAAGAATATTTTTTATGTTTCTCTGAATCTTTGGAAACTCCTCAAATGTCTTGATTCCAGAGGTTTTCTGTAATTGCCAGTGGCTTGTTCTGAGTGAATTTTCTAAAGTGCAAACGCTGACTTGGAAAATGATGCATTCAAGAGGAAATGTGTATATGCGTATTAGGTGTGAGGCTCTGAGCAACACCCACCAAGGGGAACGTGATGGCATGAATAGCCTCCGAGTAGGTGGGCCAGCAAAACCCCTAGCTGTTGGGCTGGGAAGCCCCATGTAAATCTTCCTCGCAATGTGGTCCCTCGTTCTCCTTGGGTCAGGCCAGTGTAGGAGTGAACACAGTTTTCCACGTCCAGAGGGTGGGCAAGGATCCTGAGCAAGGAATTGGTGGAGATGAGGTTTCAGGTTCCGGATGATTTGCCTATGGGCAACAGAGGGGAGGCGGTGGTCCTGACTTTCAGGGTGGGTAGCTGGCACCATGGGCCCATGTTCTAAGGGCCCAGGAAGTGGCTCTAAAGTGGGGGTCCTAGCTTCACCTACATCCTCCCTAACTCCCAGCCCCAAAGAGTGGCATGAAAGAGGCCCTGCAGAGAGGGGTTCTAGGTAGGGAAAGGGCAGATAGATGAAAGTCAAGCAGCAGAGGTTTCTTTAAAAAATAGAGATATATTGATTTTAAGTTGAAGCTGGGAGAGTGGAGGGGGAAGATGGGAGGCTTGGGGTCTGGCAGTGGGGTGAGTGCATCTGCAGGGAGAAGTATTGAAGGAGTGAAGGAAGGAAGAGTCCGGCCTCGGCCAAAGGAGATAACGGAGGGAGGAGAGGTAAGGAGGCCATGGGGGCCTGGCTGAGCAGGTGACTCATACATGCACCCCATGCACAGGCACCCCAGATGAGGCGTCTCACAGAGTGACAGCAACCGCCCTGCATGCATGCAGACCTTCCAGTTGGCTGGCTTGCAGGCAGCTCCACCGCTGCACCCTAACTTCCCGATGCCATGTGCCAAATTCATGCCACCCTTTATTTTTTTCCCTCCCCCTTCCCCTTTTTAAAAGTAGGCTCCGTGCTTGAACTCACGACCTCGAGATCGAGACCTGAGCTGAGATTAAGAGTCTGACGCTTAACCCACTGGGCCCCCCAGGAGCCCAGGGCCATCCTTTATCGTGTGATGAACTTTTTTATCCTAAACATGGCTTCCAGGCCAAAATCCCAGGGCTGTTAGGGGTCAGAGTGTCCCTTGTGATAAGGACAGGACATTCTTTCCATTGCTGTGTGTATCCTCTTAGAAAAATGGCCTGTTTGGAGCTCTGGGCCTTGTGGGCTACTACAAGGACCTTCTTCCTTTCATGTCCTGCCTTCTGTTGCCTGGTGGGACACAGAGAAGGGTCATTTTGAGATGGTGTCCCCATTCACTGTAAGATGGAGCAATGGGCTTGTGGTGCACCCACCAGGGCCTCTCTGACGATGACGACAACAGGCCCAGGTGTGACACCCGGTGCAGTATGAGAGCTGTCTCAGGCAGCCACCTTCTCACACATGGTGGTGGGTGGGGTTGGGGATCGGGACACCTGCAGCTTTGCCTTCACAAGTCACAGTGAGGCTTCTACCTAGAATGGCATCTAAGCCCTTCTGGCTTTCTCCTTTGACCAAAGTGTCATGAGTTTCCCGGCCTCAGGAAAATGATCTGTCCATGGCAAAGCACCGACTCTGCGCTTTGGAACTTCCTTTGTCGGGAAGACTTTATTACTAAGCCGTCGCATCTCCCTGCAAAAGGTCTGTTAGGGCCAGCGGTATAAAGAGGTCTGTTTAAGGAGGCGAGATGCAGGATGGGGGGGTCTTCCAGGACATTCTAACAACCCGAGAGTCAGATCTCTTGAGTGGAGGACACAAACTGTTCCGTGGTTTGGAAACCTGCTCTTTGGAGTAAGTCAATTATTCTTTATGGCTTACTCGAAAGTAGGTTCATGCAACTTGACTGTTTTCTGGACTTGAGTTGTACTAAGTGACATATTGGCCAGTTTATAGTGGGGTGGGGGAAGGGTTGTAAAACTTCCTTAGGAAGGAGATGTGGAGAAGCAGCATTCCTCCACTGATTCCTGGGACCTTACTGGTTTATTTGATAACCCCAGATGCCTACCTCAGCGCCTCCAGGCCCCTGCCACCCCTCCACCTGTGACAAGGGCATTTGCCTGCCCTGCCTCCACCTCTAGGGCAACGTGATCACCGCCACCCAAGGACTAGTTTTTCAGCTTTCCAATGACTCTCTGCCATAAGCCAACTGAAAAAGTCTTAAGAAATAGTTTAAAAGTATTAATTGAATGTGATAAAGACAACCAGAACACTTTAGAAATAGATTAGAAAGGAGATTAGTATGCCAGTTAAGAGGTGGAATGATCAATTTTTTTTAGTGGCCTCAATTCTTTGATGGCACAGTAAGGAAGGTGGGCTTCCCAGCCTGCCTTCCTAGCCAGCACCTTCCTGGAAATAGGTCTGATAATTCCAGTGGTTTCTAGACTTGATCTTCCATGGAAAGTTTGGGAGGGGTCACTCTGCCTGCTTCTTATTTATAGAATATATGGAACATATTGAGTTACTTTCCACCAGCTGCCAAAAAAGGAGAATTTAGGGATATAAAAGAGTTCAATAAATATCTTAAATGGAAAAGCCTAGAATTGGTGGAAGATATAAGCATACAGATTCTGGCACTTTCTATTCATGATCATGGCTATCAGTGTTCAAAGATCATCTGGAAGACCTGGGATCTAGGAGCCACTTGCTCTGCCTCTAATGCTCTGTGTGAGCTCAGTATATTTTGTCGTGGTTCTGGCCTGCCTCTCCATCTGGTCTTCCACTTGTTCTCTTCTCCCTCTAAGACCCCAGGACACCATGACCTGCTAGTAGATGCACTGGGGTGTCTAGGCACTGTGGGTCACACTCTGGGGACTACTGTGATGAAGCAGCAGATGAGACATTCTGTGAACCGACCCACAGCTCATCTCTTGGTCAAATGCAGTTAAAAGGTCCCTGCAGGCCCCAGATGTGGCATGTGTCATATACATGGTGTGTGTCACATCCTACCACATGGCCATGGGTGCTGTGGACATTCAACAGCTGTGTCCTGGTGATGACAGCAGAAATCAAAGGGACAGCCAAGGACCTCAGAAGGTGCAATTCATTTCATGGTCCTGCGGACCCTTTCCAAGAGAAATGAGGGCTGTGACACTTTTTTAAAGGGTTGGCTGCTTACAACAGCTGTCTGCTTGTGCTTGGAACTGGAATTTATTTCTCTCTCACCAGTGGCCTGGGCTGCTTGGCGAAATGAAGTCTCAGAAGGCTATGACCAGGCAATGAGGGGTCTAAAAAAATACCATTCAGGGATCCATTAGCAGGGCACTGTAGAGAGAGTGGGCACGTGACTCCCGTTGCTGGATGGCAACGCTAATCTGATGGCCACCGTGGGATTTGATCTCCACTAGTCATGTGGAAAAATCCATGCTTCCATTTCAGGATTAGCCCCGGGCTGCCTGCACGCTACAGAGTAAGCTCCTCACTATAAAACCTTGTAATTTAGGATGATTTACCAGGAAGAAGTGTATTTGCCAATGTTGGGTCAGGAATCCCCAATTGATCATTCCACCACATCATGAAGGCATTAAGTAAGCAGAGCCAAAGTGCAAGGGCTCAGACTCACCCGGTTTCCTTTGTCCCCGGGTGGTCCGTGTAAACCCTGCAATAAATCCCAGAAATGAAGACACATTAATGAGGAAAGACAGGATGGCCATCCAGGCCTTCCTTCCAGGCTCATAAGGTCTTCACCGATGCCTAATTCACCAGAGACAGGCTTCGATATCCCCATTGTACTGAAGGGGGACAAAGGGACTTGACCTCAGGACACATCTGGGCTTTGCCCAGAACACGGTTCTGGTTTTCTCGCTCTGCAGCCAAGGCCCTGGACCACAACCCTGTTCTAGTTCACGGATGCCAGTGAGCAGCAGGTGCGGAGGACGTGGTCTGGGTGCAGAAAAGTCTCCTGCCAGAAGAGGTGTTTGCGTGGCTCTCCCGCCAGGCTCTTGCTAGAAAAGTAACCCCAAAGCTGTTCATACCCTCTTTGCAAGGTACGGGCTATTCTCCCTGTCTTCTGCTGGGGGAATGGCACAAGGCAAAGACTGGCCTGGGTTGGCTGGGGCAAAGCTGCTTGGGCAGCCAAGCATGGGACTGGTGAACAGATGTACAACCTCCAAGTGGGTGGGAGACAAAGGTCTTGGCTCTCTTAGGCCATCAGCTTTTATAACAACACAACAGAAAGTCTGCTGTAACTGGGAGGCAGTGTCTTGGGAAGGCTTCCCCTCTCATGAAACATCTCCTTCTTGCATTATAATGATCCGGATTTCCTTCTGCGACTCCTTGATGGCAGGGGCCATAGCACATTCATCTGTGTGACCCCCACTGTGGTGGGAGGGGCCCATATGCCTCTGCTACATCCCGTCAGATGGTCCGCATGGCTGAGGACCCAGTACCCCAAGGGGACCATGTGTCCTGAGGTTTGCCTCGGGCGGTGCCCAGCAGGGAAGCCCCACCACCAGTTGGCTGTTGGCAGCTTCCTCTGTCCTGGGGATCAGCATTCTCACTTGGCTCTGGATGTTAGCTCCAGGTCCTGGGTATTCTGTTTTGACAGGGTTTCTGGGAGGTGGGGGGATAGGTGGAGAGAAAGCTCCGGTCGCATGGCACTTACAGGAAGCCCAGCTGCTCCTGTTGGTCCTGTCATCCCAAGGTCACCTTTGCTGCCCTGAAACAGGAGAAAGAAACCCATGAGGCCTCCCTGACATGGTGACCACCTCTCACCCACCATTTATCTGTTTTTGTACGAAGCCCCGGGAAAGCTCTCTGGTCCCTCCAAAGAGCCCTCTATGATGCAAGGGCTCAGCAGAGGATGTGGCTGGTGTGGGCGCCAGCATGTCGAGGGGGCCGGGAGGCCCCTCACCCTCCCTCAACCAAGGCCCTCTGGAAAGACCGGACAGCGCCCCGAAGGTACGAGCTGGCCTCAAGTAGGAGCAGAGCGGGAGACAAGGAGCAGGAAATGAGCAGGGACAGGGACGGTGGGGACGAGAGCAAGAGAACTTCATTAAAGCCCAACTGTCACCCCTGAGAGCAGCCATCCTGGTCCCCAAAGTGGCTGTCATCTTAGGGAGGGAAGCCCGTGCCCCTCTTCAGGAGCTCCCTAGCACCCATCCCGCAGGGGTGTGGGCTGTGAGCCAGGGGGTCAGGGCCTCCCCTGAGGCAGAGAGCGGGACAGGTGCCCCAAAGAGGTCCAGCGCCCCCAGCAGCCCTCTGGTGGTCTATGCTCCAAACGTGTGGAAACCGAGGTCTGGCTGGGAAGAGTGGACCTGGATGGGACGGGAAGCTCTCCTCCTTCACTGAGCCAGGCCCCCACCAGCACCGCACACACACATTCACTCCCTGGGCTGCCGCCGTGGGACATGGCCTAACACCCTGGCCTCCCGACTTCTCAATGATGCCAGGATTTTCTTACACTACTGTGACTGCATTCTATGCTGCCTCCCTAAATCGTCGCAAGGCTTAGGTGTGTCTGCCCCCAGTAGCGCCTGGGGCCTGGCCAGCTTGAGCCAGGTGACCAGGAGCTGAACACAAGAAGTCTTCTGTCTGTCTGCTCATAGCAATAGAGCGAGCACCCCAGGCGGCCAGCTCCCCCACAGGCTGCTGTGAGGGTCACCAGGAGAGGACACGGATGGGACACTGGCTTATTTAGGGGGAACGGGTTGGGGCTGAGGGCCTTCAGCTGGGCCGGGGCCCCTGCCCTGCTCCGGGTGTGCAGGCTCCTTGGTGACCGAGCACTCACCCTCTCGCCCTTTGGTCCCGCTGGGCCTGGAACTCCGATTGGTCCTGGCGTACCCTGGGGAGGTGAAAGAAAGCAGAGGTGAGGGGCCTGCTGCCAGAACTGGGGTGGGGAGCCCCGGAGCCCCGCCCGGTGCTGCAGATGAGCAAGGTCCAGAGGCCCATTTTCAGGGTTGGCGAGGCCAGGCTCGTTCAGGGCAGTCATTGGACTGGGGTGAGTTCCTGTTTGGGGTGGGGGCCTCGGGCAGAGAGGCCTCCCCCTGCCTCAGAGCCAGATTTGAGGAGGGAAACCCTTTTGCTTCACAACCAAGCTTGCCAAGGCTGAAAACGGTAGGAGAACTGCTGCTTCGTTGGCTCCCTGAAGCGCTTGGGAGGGGTGGATGCCATCCCAGGGTGGGGGCGGGGGCTGGCACCAGTTTGCTGTTGCAGCTCCACATGCAGCGGGGAGAGGGGGGCCTTCATGCCACAGAGACCGATGCAGACGCACACACACAGAGGCAGGCACAGGGGGTCAGCCAGCCGCCGCTCCCCCTGTGGTCCCACCCCCCACCCCACTGCGGTCCCTTCAGCCTCCAGTCCCACTCCCCGGCCCTATGGGGCAGGCTGGCCTGGACAGTGGCCGACTGAGCTTCGGGGGTCCGCTGGCACTGGCCTGGCAGCTCCTGTGTCCTACTGGCTCCTGACTCAGGGCTCTGGGGGAGTCAGGATAGCTGGAGCCTTGGGGCCAGAGCCCAGGCTTGTTATGACACCATAAACACCTTCCCCAGGTTCCCGATTTCCCCCTGGACTAGATAGTGTCTATGTTTCAGAGCTTCCACTGCTCTGCCTCAGTGGCTACATTTCCTGCACAGACGAGGACCTGGGGATGTGGGGCTGGGTCATGGGCAGTCCCTGGTGCTGCTCTGGGGCACGAGCAAGTGGGGAAATGCTGATCTACTTTACAAGGGAAAAAAAGCAATAAGACATCCTCCATGCCCCCTTTGCAGCTATGAAGGAAGACTATGGGCATGTGTGACAAGAGCCTGTCAAAAATGAAACAGGCTTGATCAAGGCCATGGCTGAGAACTCCAGAGTCACTGGCCAGCTTCAAGTCAAGCCTTGAAGGCCAATCAACGCTGAGATATTGGAGAAGCTTCTTGGCTCTCTGAGGGTCCGTTTTCCCCCCTGTAAAATGGGGATGATGACATGAGTGTTTGCTTTTGAGACCGCTGCCTGGTTAAAATGGATGAACACACATCACACATTTGGCACCAACAAAAGTTAGTATTGGCAGGGCAGGGTTATTCTTCCTGTAAAACTTTCCCTTTAAGGTTGTGATATTGATTCAATGAGAAAAATAAAAGCTGAGGTCCGAAGGGGGGCAAATTCTATGAATTTGCACTGCTCCCCTCTGTCCAGTAAGAATGGAGCATGTAGTGGAGAAGATAGTTTTGGTTTCTCTGATTCCAGCCACAGGTCATCCCCCTCGTCCTGACTGGCCACCTGGGGAAGACACACTAGGTGTGGGGAGGGTGCTAAGGGAGGGGTTGAGGAGGAGCAAAGCCGTAATAATTCCCAGAAAAGCGGTCTAGTCTCCGAATGGGAGATCTATGGTGTGGCCTCCACACACGCGAGTTGGTCGGGGGGACTCGGGAAAGGATGGGGTCTTGGGCGAGCCACGTCCTCTCCTCTGCTTTAGGAGGGCACCTGCAATAGAGTGAGGCTCTGAGTGGGGTTGTTCTTGGTCTTCCCACTCTGAAAGCTCTAGGCTCCCACTGGCTTCAGTGGTGAGGTCCACCCCCAGGGCCCAGGGAAGGTCTGCTGGCCTTGTGCTTTGACATCTCCCCGTACCCCAAGGGCACGACCTCCCTCCCACAAATGAAACCCTGCAAATTCATCTTCCCCACCGAATGTCATTCCAGCCAGTTCAGTAGAACCTGGTCTTCTAGGCAGATCATGCATCTGTAGCCTCAAAAACATCCTGCAAGGGCCGAGCTGGGACTCCCTGGCTGGAAGGGGCTGGGCACATACACAGCTCTGGTTATGGCTCGTGGGCAGGGGAGTTCAGCCTCCTGGCCCCTGATGGTCAGTGATCCCTAGACCCAGTGGGAATGCCACTTCTCTAAAGACCTCATGGGGCGCTCTAGGAGGGGCCTGGAAGGTGGAGAGGAGAGGAGACACTCTCTTTCTGATGTTTTAGTTGTTTGTCACAAGAAGGGCCAGATGCCTTCTAGTCATGAGTAGGTGATGCCTGTTTTCTGGAATCAGAAAGAATGGAGGAAGAGGGGACCCTTCCTCCTTTGTTCTGTATGAACTCCTGTTGAGTGGCAGGGTGGCCATGGCACCACAGGAGGTGGCTGTAACATGCCCACAGAACCCTGAGCTGGGCCTGTCCCGTGTGATCCTAGATGCTACACCCGCTCTCACCCCCATACACACCAGAGGGGGCTACACAGGACTAGGAAGCCCTTGTGGGCAGACAGGAGATGGACAGAGCTCACAGCATGAAGACAACACAGCATGACGGGCACATACAGACACTGTCGTGTTTGGTGGGCATGAGTCATGGTCCCAACCCCTGGGGTTGAACTCCCAGGCCCCACTCCACCTTCTGTTGGGAACAGAGTCTGTGCTGCTGGAGCAGCTTTCCACCCCATGCCCAGCGGTCAGGAGATTCAGATTTGAGGCCCCTGGGTTCATACGATGGCCAGGGGAATTCAGATGAAGGCCATCCATCTTTGGCCAAGAGGCCTGGATGAGCACTTCTGACCTGAGCATAGACGGTACCTTTCTGGTGCTGGTGCTGGGATGAGGCATGACTCACTGGGAAAACGAGGCCACAGCGGGACAGGGACAGACGAGAAGGGTCACAGGCCGGGGGGTGGGGGATGGGGGTGGGCGCTGAAGGGTAACAGAGAAGTGACACTCACCGGTGGCCCAGGCCTGCCGTCCAAACCTGAAGCTCCCTGGACGAAGGGAACAGTTTGACCAAGAGAAGGGAAGGGGAGGAACGGGAGGGAGAGAAAGGGACCGGGGAGGGAAGAGGTGAGTGAAGCAGTGGCTCCAGACAGACACAAATGCTGGTCATCAAACAAAACGGGAGAAATAAGCTTGGGAGGACAGGTGATGGTATTCACACGGAAACCAACAAAAACGGACACTGAGTGCAGTGTGGCCAGCGGCGAGCAGGCCGGTGGAGAGCAGTGCAGACGGCTGTTCTGATCCTCTGTGCCCCCTGCCCCCTCCCTCCTGGTAGCCCCTCTCAGGAATCCTTCTCCCAGGGGGTCGCAGCGCTCCGGGGACACAGAAAGAGAGGTCACGGAAAGGTGTCTGGAACCAGAGGGGGTGCATCCTTCCCAGGACCAGTCTCACTGCCAAGGGACTAGCCTCCGTGGAAGGTGGGTTGTCTTCCCAGCCTCTCTGGCACAACTGTTGAGACCCGGCCAGGCTGGAGAACCCCCGAGAACATCGGTACTGGGGTACAGGACCTGGCCTGGGAACGTGGATAGACGCTGGCCCGCTTCTGCTCCAGCGGGGTGGTGGTGGCGGTGGTTGGGGTAGGCCCTCGGGTGTTCGTACTCACGATGCCTGACCTTTCTCTGGCACTGTGTGGTTTGCAAAGCTCAGCACAAACTCAATTCATTCCTGTTCTCCCAGACAAGGGCCCTTTTATAGAAAAAGGCTTTGGGGGCTGCTGATGGGGACAGAGGTCTAAGGCCATGTATGCTCTGGAATAAACTGGCCGGCAGGTAGGATGCTATTAAGACCCACTTGCTATGCAGGGTCCAGTGATATATGAGGTGGGGATAGGTGCTCTTGCTCTAATGCTGGGCTGGGAAGCTGCCCCCAGGGCCCACCTAGGGGAACCAGAGGGAAATTTATCTAGTGATTCCAATGGATCAAACCAGAGAGAAGGCAGTGGAGACAATCTAGCCCAGTAAGGATTGAGTTCTTAAAAACTGCTTCCAGCTGAGCCTCAGAAATGAGCCTAGGCCTCGGGATTTTAAAGGTGGGGGAATGCCCCCGAGCAAGGAAGGGTAGGGAATAAAGTGATGAGTAGTAGGATCCTACAGGGCCTTCCTTCTCCGTTTTAGGATCACAAAGTTCTGGGATGATCTTGACTCATGGCCTAGAGAGCTGTGGTTCTCAACCCCACGGCGACATCAGAATTTCCTGGGGGACACGTAAAATAATAGAGATGCTTGGGCCCTACCCCACCCCAATTCAACCAGAGTCTCCATGAGTGAGGCCAGGGTAATGGCATGTTTGAAAAGCTCCAGGCAACTCTAACGTGCAGTCAGCACTGAGAACCGCTCCCAAGGGGCAAACAGGAGGGACTCCATAGTATAGCCTGGAAAAACAGGCTGTTACTATATGACATAAAGTATTGGGGTGAAGCTGAAAATCAGAACTTTAACTAAATATCCACAACCTTTGTCTATGCAGTACCAATGGCGAGTTATCTTGAGGGATCCGGAGCAGAGGGCACAGTCTGGCAGTTTCCAGGCCATATGTGGGCCACTGACATATCTTGCATGGTCTACGGGTTGCAAGTAATTTTGATCTAACATTAGAAAATGGGGAGATATTGCATAAATTTCCAGGTTGTCCAGCTTCCTTGGAAAACTGAGACTATCCAGAAATACTGGGCCCTCATTCCTCTGAGACAACAGTCTGCCGAGCAGGAGAGGGACTGCTCTCCTCAAGAAGGGACACATGATCTCCAGTGTGCCATAGTCCTCACTACTCTCTCTTGTCTCTCAGGTCCTCGTTCATTGCCATTGATAGATATGCTTGCTGTGTGGTTTTCTTAAGCTAGCAAAAGAATTTCTCTGTACCCATGTCCCTACTTGAATGTTGACACGTTAAAGATAGACCGGCACTTGGTCTTTCCTCTGGCACTTTCTTTGTTTTATATAACCTGGTTGGTCTCTGTGCCATTTGCATCTTGACCCCCTGACTAAATTCTCTGGTGTTCTCTAGGGCACTGGGGCCATGAAGGCGGACAAGGAGAGATTCGTGATTGAGTCGGGGCAGGAAGGCCCTTTTCTAGTAAGGAGGACTTAAACATGCTGGACACAGCTTGAGACACGGGAAAATGTCTGCTAAAGTCATCAGTTTTCTATAGTCTGTAAGGCACATCAGCTCCTTAAATGTCCTACATTTGATGCACTAATGAGGCTGTAATCATACCTTTTGCTCTTGCTGTTTGGTTGCTGTGATTATATTAACCAGACCTTCAAGCTCTGCCAAGCTGGGGTAATTGGGCTTCTCTTTGTTCTCCTGCTCTTTATGGCTTCCCAGGGTGGGAACTGGCCTTGCGCCCAGGACAGAGGAAGCCCTCGTGGCTGGAATGAGCCCCTTTGCAAGGCTGTGGTCTTAGCGAAGGAGCGGCCTCTGGCATGGCCTAACCGCTGACTTCATGTGTGACCTCAAGTGACTCTTTCTTCTCTGGGCCCATCAGTAAAATGAGTAGAGGGATCACTAATGTCCCTTCCAGCTCTCGAATGGCAAACCACAAAGAGTGCCAGCCCCACCGGGGTGTGAAGGAGGATGAAGCCCAGGGCTCCAGGGTGGTGTTAGAGGGCACTCACCTGGACACAGGCGAGGCAGTGATGAGGCCGTGAGCCCACTGGAGCTTTGGGCAAAAGACTCGCCCAGGCCAGGCCCCACATCTGGAAATGTAGATGCCTCCTGAGCAGGCCCTCGCCCTGACCTGGGGTCTGATCTCAGGGCTGGCTGAGATGAGAGATCTGAGTGGCCTTAGCCTGCTGGGACCAGAGAACCTGCCTTTATGCAAGCTTTTCTGCTGTGGCCAGTGCTTAGGAGCAGAGATCAAGGGCTCTGCTGGGTCTCAGTGGGAAAATAGGAGGGAGATGGAGAACATTTGACCCTCTCATTGCTCCCAGGTCTTCCAAGGTTGGCTCCCATAAGGGCAGATTTTACTGCCTCTGAATCAGGCACATGTAGGGACTAAGGCTGTTCTCAGCCACGTGTGGCTCTCCAGCTGGGTGCTCCTTGCAGGGGGGTCCTGTCTTATTTAGCTCTGCATCCTCCCCACACCCAGGCCAGGACTTGGCCCAGAGGAAGCCCTTGGTAAGGGAATTAGAGCCTATGTTCTTGCCCAGGTGGGAAGGCAAACTGCACGGAGTTCTGGAATGCTCAGAACTTTAGAATCTCCAGTTTGGCAGCAGCCTTCTCCCAGGGTCCTGCACCCCACCCTAGCCTCCTTGTGACCACCCAGCTGGGCTCCTCCGAGGTTTGCTGGCTCTAAGATACTTACGGGTAATCCCAGTGGCCCCCGATCTCCTTTCTCTCCCTGGGCACCCTTCTCTCCTTTTGCTCCATCAAGTCCTGCTTCCCCTGAAGGAAAGGGAGTGGGGAGATCACAGAAAGGCATGTCTCAGACCACTTGTTCTTGCGTTCTGGGGTCCTGGAGTTGAGGGTGGGTTGGGGAGATAGGGGCAGGTAGAGGATGAAGGAGGGGTAGGGGGAGGTGGCTGGCCCATGGATGGCAGGCTGGTCCAGAAATCCTGGAATTCCTAGCCAGTTTCTGCCTCTGTTAGAGTTCTCAGTATCGCCATAGTTACTGTGAGGTCCCCAGAGAAAAAGGGGATGGGTGGAGTGGAGACAAACCCACAGGGCGGTTCCAGGTCAGGCTCAGGCATTTGCAGAGCTGGAAAATGGGCCTGCAGAGACTGGCTGGCAGGTGCCTGAAATGCCAGTATGGGGGGGTCCCGAGCTAATTGGGACAAAAAGTGCCCAACAGTCCCCTGAAGAATACTGGAGTGGGAGGTACAGGTCTATATGCCATCAGCCTTCAGCCCTTCTTACCCAGTTGAAATGGTTTTGAAGGGGGAGATTGGGAGACACCCCCCCCTCCTGCCAGAGACCAGAGGGCTTGGACCCGGGGAGGGGGCCCACACTACATCCTCTCTGTGTCCCATCTTATACTTCAGGGTGAGTGAGAGGACTGGGGCAGGGTACTTGGAAAAGGATTTCGTCTTTGCTAAGAATCCAACCTGTCACTCATAGGGTGGATTAATGGTTGGGGAAATTCTAAATCTGAAGCCTGCCCAGTGTCAGTCATGGGTGTTAAAAGCACTGCAGGGCTTCATTATCTCCTGGGTGTAACCAGTGGCCAGCGTGTCACACGATTCCATGTAGGGAAGGGGCCTGGAGTACCTGTCTCTGAAGGACTTTCTTTTTGGTCCTCATTGACACCGCCCTTCCCCCCACCCCAGCACCTGTCCCAGGACCTCTTCTTACCTTTGGTCCAGGAACACCTTGGAGCCCCTGCGTTTGGAATCAAAACACAGCACCTCAGAACTGCATTTCTAGTTAAGTCAAAAACACCTTGTCTGCAGGTTGGACCACAAAAGAGCAAGGGCCTGGGGTCCCTGCCCAGGGAAGGCAGAGGGAGTGCTAAGAGTGTTTGTGCTGGGGGCTCTCTGGGGTGGGGTCTGAGCCAGGCCTCCCCAGCCAGGGACTGACAGAGAGTCTCTCTGTGACCCCCACGGCTGACCTAGAGTCTCAGGAAGGGAAGCTTCAGAAGGAACACAGCAAAAGTTGATTAAATTACTATATGCAAAGTGCTTGGGGCAGTGTCTGATATGTGATAAGTCTTGGTAAATGCTGGCTACCATCATTATTAACTCCTGTTCTGCCAAAGACAATAGTTGGCACAGTGCCATGAGTCCTGGGAATCCCACAGAGGAAGGACCAGCACCTATTGTTTTAGCAGCATGCGTGGGAGCCCTGTAAAGGTTTCATCTTATCGCCTGTAACCCGGAAAAGCCAATCCAGTGGGGCTGGTTTTAAATCACTTTCCATCTTAATCCAGATCTTTTGGCTAGCTGATAAGTAGGAAGGAGGAAGGGGGAGAGCAGACATCTGATGGCAAAGGACAGAGCTTAGTGGCAGAGGGACTCCTGCAGGGCAATGGGACCAGACCCCAGGGCTGCTGTGCCAGTCAACTGTTTCCATGAAAGCTGGCAATGCCCAGGCTCCTTGGTGTCACTGAGATGGTGCCTGTTTCACACGGGAGGGAAAAGGAGTAGGGAGGGGTTTGTGTGTAAGAGATCCCACCCCCTGGGAGGAGGAGGTGACAGACAGTGACCTGCGCTGAGATGAACCCCAGTGACCACCAGGGGCAGGGGATGTTAGGGACCCAGTCACAGTGGATTGAAATGCTGACAAGCCCTCCAAACTTACCTGGGGTCCAGGGGGCCCCTCTGGCCCTGGAGGCCCAGGAACCTAGAATCCAAAGGGAGATGATTAGCCTACCCGCTGGTACACTCCAAGAGGGCTCCCCTTCTGACATGGCCCCGGGTCCAGGTGGGGACAGCAAAGCCAGAGGGGGACAGAACTGCCCAGCATGTGGTCTCCCGAAAGGAGGCTGAGAACAGGGCAGAAACTCATAGCAACCCATTACTCCACACAATGTTGAAAGAAAAAAAAAAAAAACCCAAACATTGCCAGGAAATGCTGTCAAAACGTCCAGACTTCCAGATTTTCTTGGAAAAAAAAAAAAAAAGAAAGAAGAAAAACCTGGCAGCCCGAGGGTCTTGTTCATGCATGGCAGTCATTGCCTGGAGCTGAATAAAAGCTTTCCCCTCCAGGTGGGGCACGAGATCTTCAGATTACCCCAGTCCCCACCACTCCCTATCGTCTTTGACCTGGAACTTTGTGTTCATTTGTTACAGGCCTGGCCCTTGGAGGCGTTTGAACTTGAGACCTTTGGCTCACAGGAGCAGAGATTGGCTATGTGGAAGAGGCGGGGAGGCTGAGCAGCTTTTGAAGACTATCCCTCAAGTCCCCTCAGGTTTGTGACAAGACTGCTTGGTCTCTGCTTCCCTTAAAGGCAGAGTGAAGTGGAACAGATTCACTCAGGACGGGGAAGGCAGAGGGACTCAGGGGGTCTTCCCCTTTCTGGAGGATGGTGTTCATTGCAGATTCTGTTTCTGGTGAGTGTGGGTATCCATCTGCTCACACTCAGCCACCCAAGAGGCAGGAGGGACGCCTGAGCCGGTCACCCCATCTCAACTTTGGGGCTCTTCTCGCCTTCCCAGGTTAGAATCCCAAGGAATGTGGCCAGGATGGTGACCCCTCTGCAAGGCCAACAAAGAAGAGCCCCTGCACCAGGTTGACCCGGTACCTCTAGAATCCGTGGACTCTTCAGCTCCATCTCTTGGAAACTCTATATTCTTATTTTATTTTTTTTAAAGTTTACTACTTTCCCCCCCTTATTATACATAAGTGATTCATGAATCCTAATTGTGGTGGTAGCTATGCAAACCTATGAATGTATTAAATAAAATCCACAGAACTATACACACTCCCCCCCAAAAAAGTCAGTTTTACTGTATGATAATTTTGAAAATAAAAAAATTAAGTAACAGACCCATTAAAAATTTTTATAAATTAAAGGGAGCTGAAAGAATGAAAAGAATAAGTATCTGATTACTCCTAGTATTTTGCTTTGTTTCCTTCCACTCTTTTTGGACACATAAAATGTACTTGAATGTATGTCCATACTTAATGATGATTATATATATGTAATTTGCTTCTCTGCTGCTTTTCATTTAACCCGAAACCCGGTTTTCTAATTTTTTTTTTTTTTTTGTATGTTCCCCACAAGCCTCCTTTCCGTGTCGACTGAGCGGCATGAAATGAGTTCCTCCCCGGCCAGGGCTCGGAGCGGCGCTTGGCACAAGGAACGCTCCCAAACATGGGGACTATTATACCATTAGTATTATTACCATAAGTTATTGAATCATTTCCTTCTTGTTAGAAAAGTAGGCTGTTTCCAATTTTTACTTTAAATACTTCTGGAGGGAACATTGCTGTGTGTAGTGGTTTTCCTGAATCTTGGAGCATTTCGTCAGGAGGCCACCCGTCTCTAACTCAGGAACATACATGCTGTCTCATCACTTCCCCCAGAGCGGATGGGCCCTGGTGGCACCGAAGGCGACAGGGGCCCGGAGACCTCTCTGGGGGGCTGAGAAGGCTTGGTGGGCCCTCCCTTGGCTCTGTCTGGGTGGCACAGGCCCTCCCACCAAACTTCCTCTCCCCCACATGCTGCTGAGCTCTTTTGCCTTTTTGGCTCTTTCCCTGAGCTGACACATACGCCCGATGCCCTCTGACCTTATGAGAACCTGGCCTCCATCCCGAGTACCTCTCTCCCCAGCGTCTCTCCTCTTCCCTTCACCACCGCACCTCCAGGGTATAATGTGTCTCTCTGGAAAGCCTACTTCTGGAGCTCCTAGGCAAACTCCTACAAAGGCTTCCAGATCCCACTCAAAGGGCCCATCTTCTAGGATGCCCTCCCAGCTTCTCGAGCAGCCAACTACTCTAGTGCTCGCTGCTGGGGACTGTTCGCTGCACAGAGGTGCTTCTGTTTATTTTCCTTCTAGCACCGGGAACGAAACGTGGTGGGTGCTCTGTGAACACCAGTGGGGAGACCGTGAACTGGGGCTCTGAGGCCGAGCTACTGCGCTCAGCTTCTTGCTCGCTCCCCACATCAGGCAACCATGAGTTTCCTTCTAGAACACAGAAATGCTGCATGTCCCGGAGGGACTGTGGGCTGATGAGGTCCCTGTCAACTCCCTCCCCCATGGCACAGAAGGCCGAACGGGCACAACCTACCTCCAGTCCTGGCTCACCCTTCTCCCCGGGCTCTCCTTTCTCTCCCTGTGGGCACAAAACACCAGGCTGTGGATGCCGGCGCTCAGGGAAGGCTGGCCACAGGGACCCCCTCACAGCTGTGGCAGACCAGACAGGGACTCCACTGGGCCGAGGTGTGGTCAGGGACCACCTGGAAGGCTGAGGGGGCAGTCAGCCTGTAGTATGAAGACTGAACAAGGGACCCAAGGTCAGTCTTTAGGAACCTGTGGGCCCAGCCTGTGGGAGGAGAGGCTGATATTGTGTATGGAGCCCGCGCTGCACAGACCCTAGGGTGACCTGTGACCTGTTTCTACCCAGTAGAATATGGCACATGGCAGAGGTGATGGGAGGTCACTCCTGCCATTGTTATAAGCTTATATTACAAATTACAACATGCATGTGTTAAGTTATGTAACACACACACACACACACACACACACACGTGTGCACACACACATGGCCCTGTGTTGGCAGCAGGCACTCAGAGGCTCCTGCTGGCCTTGGCCTTGGACAAGCATGTGACCTGCCTGTCTTGGGGAAGAGCCCTTTGGCAAGGAACCGTGGGCAGCCCCTAGGAGCCGAGGGACTCCGTCCTGCTATGGCCAGGCACTAAGTCACGCCAACAGCAGTGAGTTTGGAAGAAGATCCAGGTGAGTCAACAGCCTGCCTGCAGCCTCACGAGCCCTCGGGCAAAGGACCCCGTGATGCCAAGCCTGGACCCCCTACCCTCAGAAATGGTGAGATCACTTGTGCACATCATTTTAAGCCGCTGAATTTGCCATTTGTTACGCAGCTACAGAAATGACTATGGCTCTGGGAACAGGGCGAGGGCCAGCGGTGGGAGGTGAACGAGGAAACTTCCACAACATATCCAGGAGCATGTCCTCCAGCCTGGAGCTGCTCCTCCTTGGAGGGGACACATCAGGAGGCCAGGAGCTGCCAGTCTGTCCGGGCTGGGTGGGGCAGCCCCCGTTAGTGGCTCCTGAGGGACTCCTGCACTGGGTCAGAGGTGGGACTGGTTGACCTCTGAGGTTCTTTATTATTCTAAGAGGAGGATTCTGAGGCCAAGATCCACACTCCAGTGCTCCTCACAGACTGGCTGTTCATCAAAAGGACCCTTCCCCCAAGAGGTCAGGCATGCCAGGGGGGTTAGTGCAGCCTCGTTGCAGTGCCAGGCATCCGCTAGGCTGGTGACCACCGTGAGTGCACCCTTGCTTGTGTGCCCTCATTCACAGGGGCCTGCTGACAACCTTGATACCCCGCCCTCTCGCCTTACTGTAAATCCCGGGAGCCCGATAGGGCCGGGCAATCCTGTTGCTCCGGGTCTCCCTTGGCCACCTGGTTCTCCTTTCTCCCCAGTTGGGCCGTCTAGACCCTACAGATCGACAAAGATCTCTGTTAGTCAAGAGCGAGGTCATCATTTGAGCATCTGTGACCAACTGTGGCATGCACGCGTGGCTCCCTTCGTCCAAGGGCGGGTGTCTAGGATGGTGCCCATTTCACAGATGACATGCCACTGAAGTCCAGAGAAGACTCTCAGGTCAAGTCAGCAGCCTTGTTGGACTGGGTAATGTCCCCCCCTCCTTTTTTTGTACATGCAGCCTCTCCTGGGTGTAGGGCTTCTGCATACTTTCCAAAAAGGCAGGTTTACACCTATGACCTCATCTCCTTCCCAACAAGCCAGTGAAGTATCCAGGGAGGGCATTACCACCCACATCTTAGAGATGAGAAAACAGAGGTCCTGCAAGGCCCAAGTGACTTTCCGAAGGACACGGGAGATGACAGAGCAGACCCAGTTCTCTTGAGGAGGGCAATTGGCCTCCATAAAGCAAGGGGCTTGAGGGAAACCCGGGTGAGTCTCCTGCCCCCAGCTCCAGGCTCCAGGCTTCTAGCCCAAGCTGCAGCAAGCACCCCGCAGAAGCCATGCTGGGGGTGCACCTGCGCATGCATGCACCCCAGGGTGGAGTCCTGGCCAGCCCACCCTGGCACTCACCGGTGCGCCTGCCTGTCCCGTCTCCCCTTTCTCCCCCTTCTCTCCTGGGCTCCCTGTGTGTCCGTCTTCTCCCTTCATTCCTGCAGGTCCAGACTTTCCTGGGGGGCCTTGGGGGCCGGGGGGGCCCATGTCTCCTGGTTTGCCTCGAGGTCCCTTTAGAAAACATTAGCAACACTTACTGTATACACCAATGGAGGAAAGAGAGAGAGAGCATGAAAGAATGGGAGGTCCAAAGGACATGGCTCTTCTGTGCTCGACTGGCCCGGGTGAAGAGCCTGTGCACCTCCCTCGGAATCGGAGAAGCCCCCCAGCCCATCCCAGTCAGGTATTCCTGGCTCCTCTGGGGCCAGCAGTGTGGGGCTCAGGCTTCTGCAGGGTTTGCCCCCACACTTCCACACTCCTTTCCCCACAAGGCTCACACCTAGGCCTCTTCCAGAACCTTCTGCCCCCACCCCCCCATCATCCCCGGTCAGCCCAGGTCAAGGTCCACCTTCGGAGGCTCGTTTCGGGGGAGCATCTGTTCTTACCTTTTCCCCATCGTGTCCTGGAGGGCCTGGGAGTCCGATCTCGCCCTGTGGCCAGAAGGACCGAAGGTCAGTCTCAGAGCAGAGAAGAATAACTGTCCTTCACGGCACACTTCCTACGTGCCAGGGTCACCCAGGAGCTGTGTAGTTGCACTGGCTCCATTTCAGGTGAGCACCCCAAGGCAGAGCTGTGTGCCCAAGGCCTGCGGTCAGTGCAGCGGGCAGCTGGATCTGAGTAAGGACCTCGTGGTTTCCCAGTCCACATTTCCCAGTCCACACGCAGGCTCTGAGGACTCTGGGTATGCCTGGTGAGGGGTGTTGCCTCCCAGTCCACCTCCACGCCCCTGCCCTCCTGTCCTGCCTGCCCTACAGGGAGCTCCCTGCATCGTGGCATCAACCCAATCCCCTTCTTGAGGTCAGGGTGGGAGATAAAGGAGGCCTCTCTTCTGTGTTTGAGGCCAGTAAACAGTGAGCCACACCATCAAGACAGGATGATGCTATGAGAGGAGCAGAGACGAAAGGGCAGTGAGTCCTGCCTGGTAGATCAGGGGAGGCTTCATGGAAGAGGTGGCCTTTGACTTGGGCTTGAAATATCAGGACTTGGAAAAGTAGGGAAGGGGGAAAGGAACTTCAGGGCAGGGGCCCTCGTGAGCAGAGGACAAAGGTGCAAACATGCAGGACCTTCTGAGAAAATCCCTGGGGTGGGGCAGAATGTAAAGGGGAGCAGGGGCAGGAAGCCAGAGGGAGGAGCTCAAGTGCCATGTTCCCTGATGGGCGGCTTGGGGTCCCCACAAGCACTGGCTTGTCTAGACCCAAGCTCCACCACCTCAGAAGAGCCTGTGAGTGACAGGAGCCCAAGTCAGACAGCAGAGGGAAAAATGGCAAAGCTGAGGCAGCAGGAGTGGGGGCGGCTGCGACGCGGGCAGGACAGAGCAGGAGGAGAAATCAGAGGCCAGGTGGCGGTGATGGCCAGATGGCTCTGCAGGGACAATGGGAGGGTCACCCCCTGGCTCCCGCACTTGGGGACACACGCAGTGCCTCTGCAGGGTCTGCATCCTTGTCAAGACAAGTGTTACCTTCTGGCCTGGGATCCCTGGGGCTCCGGGTGGGCCGATTTGCCCAGGAAGACCAGGGGGCCCCTACAAAATAAAAAAAAAAAAGTCCTGTGGAAGAATTTTCCAACCAAGGAGGGGCGGCCTATTGCCAGAGGGGTGTAAGTGGAGGTTGCTTTATGGAAGTTGACAATTTTCGAACATCAGTGGCAGAAACATTTTTTTATTTTTTTTTTTTACAAAGGAAATAGCACGGGGTCCCCACAATGTAAAGCGGAGAAGCACTGAGGGTGTCTGGGTTAGAGTGGCAGGGGGCAGGGGAGCTCCTGGAGCCATGCCTACCAGCCTCTCCCTCCACCTCCCTCTGAGCACCCCTGGGCTCCAATAAGATAAATCTCACCTTCCCTGACAGGGACTTAAAAATGCCTCCAGGAAACAATGCAAATATCCATCAACGGGTGCAGGTTGACTTGATGGGATGAGCACTGGGTGTTATACTATATGCTGGCAAATTGAATTTAAATTTAAAAAATGTAAAAGAAAAACCAAAACAGGTGCAGGTTGGCTATACCCATCCAATGGAATATTACTCAGCAGTACAAAAATGAACCAAGCACATGTGCATGACCTGCCACGGATGGAACCCAGATATTCTATGCTGAGCAAAAGAGGCCAGACACAGATGACTACACTGCATGATTCCACTCAGAGGACACTCCAGAAAATGCAGATCTAATCCACCAGGACAGAAAGATCAGTGGTGTCCAGGGGCTGAGGATAGGGGTGGGAGTTTTGCTTTGCATAGCTATTTCAAATAATATATTTTAATGTCCCCTGATGAAGTTCATTGATTCTAGAATCATGTGATGTTAATATCAGCTCTGGGGTTGGGGCATGATGTGATCGGCGTTTGAGTCTGGGTTTGTACCTCCTGAGTGTTCTGTGGCACATGGCCACTAAAAATATTAAGTGAAATGAGGGGCACCTAGGTGGTTCAGTGGGTTAAGGGTCTGCCTTCGGCTCAGGTCATGATCCCAGGGTCCTGGGATGGAGCTCTGGGTAAGGTTCCCTGCTTCTCCCTCTCCCTCTGCCTCTCCCCCCTGCTCTTGCTCTCTCTCTCTCTCTCTCAAATGAATAAATAACATCTTTATTTTGTACTTTTATTTTTAAATATTTTATTTATTTATTCATGAGAGACACAGAGAGAGAGGCAGATACACAGGCAGAGGGAGAAGCTCCCTGTGCACAGGGAGCCTGATGTGGTAATTGATCCCGGGACCCTGGGATCATGACCTGAGCCAAAGGCAGATGCTCAACCACTGAGCCACCCGGGTGCCCCTAAATAAAATCTTTTTAAAAAATGAAAATAAAAATATTAAGTGAAATGAAATTCCAATAGTTTTGAGAACCTTGAGATCTCCTTTCTGCTCTCTGCCTGGAAGCTAAACCTCATGGTAGTGGTTTTAATCATAAATATTCACTACAAATATCCATAGGCCTGTCACTGGGAGTAGGTACACATGCAAAATCTGGGCTTGGAATTCACTGGTTTTCCAAGTGCAGAAAAGGAGACTGATTTCTAGGAAAGGTGAAAAGTGCAGGTTAAGTAGTTACTGATTTTTTAGGGTTATGGATTTTATTAGCTGAAGGTTGAGTATAAGGAGAAACACAAAAGCGTCCTCCTCTGTACCTCCATCTTCTTGCTGCAGCTGTGTGGAGAACCAGCATTTACGCTGCGACAAGAGTCTGCAGTGGAGTGGGTGAAGAGCTGCTCCAGGGGACAGCCAGGACCCCGGGTTGGGGAGGCTCCGGAGAGCCCCTGCTCAGGCTCGGATCACCCTTTGCCCTGGCACTTCAGGGTCAGTCCTAACTCAGCAGCCCTGCACCTGCTTCTGGAGGCCGGACCTCAAGTCCTTGCCCAGCCCCAGCCTCCTGCTTCCGGCCCCCAGCCCCAGCCCTCCAGCCCTCAGCCCAATGCCCAAGGGAAAGAGGAAGACTTACCATCAAGGCCAGCGTTCGGATCTCCTAAAAACCAATGCCACGCAATCAGTTGAAGAACAAGTCAAGAACCATCTGGAGGGTCCCCTTGGCCCAGGCGTGGAAACATGGGAGCTGGGCACCCCCTTAGGAGCACAGTAGGGGTAGGTCCTCTCGGTGGGCTCCTTGCCTCCCAACCCCATGCCGCCCCCACCTCTCCCCAGGCTTACAGTCACTGGACAAAGGACTCCCTACAGCTCACCAAGGCTGTCCTACAACAGACTCAGGCAAGCCCTGAAAGGGACTGCTAACTTCCCTTCACTTGGCCAAAGAGGACACAACAGCTCTTCTTCTCTCTAATCACTGACCGGGACCCTCCCCTGTTCTTCCCTCTTCCCCCCAAACCCAGATTCCAAGGCTCTGATGTTCTTCCTTGTAAATAACAAATGTGGAATAGCAGAATACGGAGCCACACAAGAAACCAGAGGGACCATGTCACGCAGACAGGATCGCACACTGTGTAAAGGGATTCATGGAGGTACAAAGTTTCCTTAAATGGGAGGTTCTCAACCCAGGGGTGGGGGTTGGCCCCCAGGGGACATTTGGTGATGCCTGGAGACATGTTTTGGTTGTCATAACCGGGGTTGGGGTGCTACTGGCAACTGGTGGGTAGAAACCAGGTATGCTGTGAGGCACCCCACAGCACACAGGGCACCCTTCCCCCACAACTCCCAACAAGATGACCCAGCCTTAACTGGCAACAGTGCTGGCGTGGAATAGCCTTGTCGTAAAAGGTGGGCATCATACGAACTTGGAACATGACTGAACTGACATGAAAGGGAGACATGTTTCAGAAAGACAGATTCTATCTGCGAAAGGGGTATTGAAGACATGGGGCTCCAGAACCCTGGATGGGCCAGCACCCCACAGGGCGTCAGGATGTCCCAGTGATGGTGCCCAGCTCCCCAGAGCCAGGATAACCTGCTAGCCCTGCCAGACCAAGAGCCAGGCCACCTGGCTGCCAAATGAGGGGTGGGGGGCGCAGCATTTGCCTGGAAGCTGGAAGCAGAGGCCGAGGGAGAGGGAGCAAGGGGATCGCTCTCCTGGAAGCTCTGTCCAATAGCCTGGCCTCAAGGACACTAGTTGGGGTGTTGAAGCGGCCCCTCATCAGGGCTGTGGTGCAGCGCCCCCTGGAGCACCTCCCAATCTCCCGTCTCTGGGCTGGCTCCCGCTCACCTGGAGGGCCTCATTGATGTTCCCGTTGTAGTCCACCATCTCTCCTTTCCCTGGCTCCCCCTTGGTGCCCTGCAAGACAAGGGCGGTCTTAACTCCAGGCCAGGGCCTGTAGGGCTGGGAGGGCAACGGGTGCCCGCTCTCAGCTAGACGGGGCTGTAGGCAAGGGGGTGCTGCGCCCAGCCGCACGCAGATGCACCTAGAGCTGCGGGATGGGGGCCTGGCCGGGGATTCCCCACACCCAGAGGGGATGCCCAGAGGTTCTAGAACCAACACAGAGACTCTACGAGACAACTCTGGACTAGATGTGACGGCTGAGTCCCATCACAGCCGCCACGTCTGCAGGAAGAAGACTCTTTCCCTTCCTCCCCCTAAGACCTGGAGTCCAGCCACTTCACGCTGTGTGCTCTGACTCCGGGTGAGACGCACGTACCTTGGGGCCAGCTGGTCCCTGTTCTCCAGCTGCTCCGGGCTCCCCCTGTTGCACGACAAAATTGGAGTGAAATGGGGACAGAGCTGGGTACGAGAGAGCCTGATGTCCCCAGATGGGCCCAGGAGGCTCATTTTAGCTCAGGCCCAGAGGCTGCAGACCTTTCTGGGCATGACCTCCCCTTCGGGAAGCATCTCCCCCTGCTTGCCCTCCTCTGTGCCTCCCAGCACCTCTGGGCTCCTCTGTCTTCTCGCTGAAGGACATTCCTCTGTCCTGGGTTCCTTGTGCGGGACTCCACTGTGTCTGCCTGGCCACCTCTCCCCAGTCCCTACCTTAGCCTCCTCTTTGGGCACAGAGACCAGGCCCTTTGCTTCTCTTTATTTCCATTCAGCGCAAGGAGCAAGAAGAGCTCAGGAGCTTTTTGCCAATCGCCTGAATGTTCAATAATTGCCATGGAGGGACCACAGGCTCCTCAGGGGCCTCTCTGCATGTGACAGCCCCAAACCGCAGGAAGGAAGGAGGGATGCGGCTGCATAAGGCAGTAGGAGACCTCAACCTCCCCACAGGGCGGGGCGGGGGTTGCTCCTGCTGGAAGCAGGACAGAGCTCAGGGGAATAAATGAAAACAAACCACACTGCAGTTGTTTTGGGGCAATGTTAACAGTAAAGACAAATTTTAAAAATCAAGACAGAAAGTAAATGTAAAGGGTCAAGAGACCCTTAAAGTTTTGTTTGTCTTTTTTAAAGATTTTATTTATTTATTCATGAGACATACAGAAAGAGACAGACACAGGCAGAGGGAGAAGCAGGCTTCCTGCAAGGAGCCCGATGCGGGACTCGATCCCAGGGCCCCAGGATCACACCCTGAGCCGAAGGCAGTTGCTCAACCATTGAGCCCCCAGGCGCCCCAAGAGACCCTTTAATATAACTCCTCAGGACCCATGGCTGGCCTGCTCAGGGAGTGTCGAGCCACTGCCACCTGCTGGTAACCTGCCCCTCACCTCCCTGCCCCCACTGCACCTGCGAAGGCCAGGGCAGCACCAGCCTGACCCTCCCACAGGAAGTAGCTGGAGAGGAGTGGGAGCCCCACCTTTCCCAGTGGTGTGGAAGCTACCAGAAGCAGGGGCTCTGGGTCCATCCCTGGGCCAGCGTTTGCATGACAGCTGACTCAGTGGAAGGTTCTCCCCAGCCGGCAGGAGCGACGGCCACCAGGAGCCATGGCCCGTCAGCTCTGCGCCCTGGGGGTCCAGCTGCAGGGACGGCCACCACTCTTGAGCGCCCTGAGCTGCGGCTTGAACTCCCAAGCCGACCCTCATCTCAGAACTGGGAGCCCCTGTACCTTGTCTCCTTGCTGTCCTGGGGGGCCGGCCTGGCCATCAACACCAGCTTCTCCCTGGGGAAGAGGAGAGACACGGGCTGAGGGCACGCAGGGCAGCTTGGCCAACTGTCTGAGGGGCCGGGGAATGGCCTTGCTGTTGACGTCCCGGGTGGTAGGTGTCTTTGGGTCTCCGTCCTCACCTGCACAGGCTTCTACTACCTCACCTCATTCTACTCATCTGACTCCCACCTACCTGTGGGCCCAGCCTGGGTCTCACCTCCTCCTGGAAGCCTTCCCTGTCTGCCCCTTTCCTCCTCTGTGTTCTGCCTCACTTGTTGGGGTTCACCTGCAGGGCCAGGCCCTCCTCAGTTGATTCACCCACATGCCAACCCTGTTGCGCCCCCCCCCGGTGTGGACTGTCCCCCATCCCTAACTACAGGGAGGCAGGAACACTTGGGAAGGCACACCTCATCAGGTCCTGCCTGGGAGACGGAGGGGACCGTGCAGGCTCTGGGTGAGTAGGGAGGGGCCCCGGGAAGCCTAGGAGGGTAGCAGGTCCCCTGCACATACTCCCCTTAGTCAGCACTGCCCGTGGCCCTGAAGGAGGACATGCACTTGGGAACGGCCTTCTAGCTTTCCTCTCTTGTGTCCCAGGGAGCAGGGATAGTAGTGACCAGGCTTCCCCAAACCCAAATCAAGACCCAAGATGTGCCAAGGTACCCATGCCCTGCGGGGACGGACTCCAACCCTGGGGATGGCCCAGAGCCCGGCTGGCAGGCCCACCCTGTGGACAAGCTGGTGCTCAAGCCAGGGAGGCTCTGTTCCCACCACGGTCAGAGAGGTGGGCACATGGGGGTTAGCTCGAGACCTTCCTGCCACGTCAGCTTGCGTCCTGTGGGCTTCCTTCTGGCTCCTGCCACTATGAATTGTGGGCCTGTTTCTCCTGCTGCTTGGTGAGCAAGCTGAGAGCAGGTTCTCTACGGCCTCACAGCCCCGGTGGGGCCCAGCCCACAGCAGCCCCTTGATATATGTCGGTGCAATGAATGTGTGTATTGTCTGTGATCATATAACGAGTCCTCATAAGCTAAGAAGGAGGCCCTCCTCACTTCCTGGAATAAAACCAAGCAGCGCAGGAGGCGTCTGCTTCAGGAAACCCATGTCTCATCCCAGCAGTTTCCCCCAGTTTAAGGACTGTGAGGGCAGCTGACCCCCTGCGGCTACCAGCCCCCTCCCCCGTGTGCCAGCACCAGGTGGGGCCCAGCTGATCACTGATCTCGTATTCAGAGCCTGGGTGGGAGGCCCTTGTGGCTGTCCTAAGGCCCTGCAGCCGTCTGTCCCTGGGTGGGAGGCCCTTGTGGCTGTCCTAAGGCCCTGCAGCCGTCTGTCGTCTGTCGCTGACTTGGTTACCTTGTAGCTGTTTGAATCATTGGGACCATCCATCTGCCCTCTGTTTCTCTTGGATAGTCAGACTGTCACCACTTAAAATCAGGAGCTCAGCCCAAATCGCCTTTCTAGAATCCATGGGAAAACCACACATCTGGAGCAGAATAGAAGGCAAGGTACCCAGAACAGAGTCCCCAAGAATGGGCTGAAGATAAAGGCCACAGTCAGCATCCCCCTTGAGCGCAGACCCCAGGGAAACTCACCTTTGGACCTGGGGGCCCCGGGAGCCCTGGGGGGCCCGGCTCCCCTCTGCTTCCTCCAATGGAGTTGCCAGCATCACCTTTTTCTCCCTGGGGGTGGAAGTGTGGGAGAGTGGGAGAGTAACCGTCACTTTGGTCTGCCTAGCTCCAGAGGGGTGTGGCCGATCCCTGTCTTCTCTCCCCTCCCAGTTCCAAGGAGTAGGGGCAGCAGACTGCCCCTCAGCCCAGGCTGGGCACAGAGGCCCTCAGAAGCCCGGCCTGGTCTCACTGGCCATGGGCACTGAGGAGAGAATGGACCTCTGGCTGTCGCTGGGGAACAGGAATGGAGCTGAAACCAGAGACCCATCATGCCTTGGGTCTAGACTCTGTTTCTCAAAGTGTGTCCACAGAACCCCTGCTTCAGTGGGTGGGGAATATTTGAAATGTGACAAAAAGGGTTTGGTGGCCAAAGGACTGTTACGGAAGGCGCAGTAAAATGAGGCAGGACAGGCTCCTTCACGGCAGGGTGCTCTGAGCCTCTGCCTGGCTAAAGTGCCCTGGGACCTTGCAAGGGGGCCTGCCTCATGCAGCTCTCCCCACATTAATTTGACCTCAAGTGTTTTCTTTTCTCTCTTTTTTTAATGGAATGTCTTATGGAACTCAGGTACTAGGGAGCACATTTTCAGAGTTGGTGCAAAGAAATCTGACAAGGTACAGCTACTGGTCTTTGCATATGAGCATTTTTGCCCATCTGGGCCTCCCAAGCGGTACCCCAGACACTAATCCGGCTGTGTTCTAGCTGCTTCCTCCCAGTCTGGGAGGGACGCCTCCAGTGCTGGGGCCCATGTGAATGTTCAGGGTCGGGAATGTGGGTGCAGATGAACACAAGACCTTTGCATAGAAGCCACCATTCAGAGCTTGCCAATACCCACCTTCTGCCCCAGGAGGCCGAGTAGCCCGGGGGGGCCTGCAGTCCCCTTCTCGCCCTGTGGGGGAAATGCAGATGGTGCAAGGTGAGGAAGGGTTTCTCCAGGCCGACTGGGAAGGCACCAGCCCCACCAGCATCTAGCCTTGGCTTCCTCTCTGCTGCCTCCCTGCCCCTCTGTGGGCCATTTCCTGAAAGACTCCGTTTCCCCCCAGACCCCCACCTGCACCCGACTCCTTCCTTGAGCCACTTCACACTGATGAGGGAGGACCTGTATCATTGTTCTGCTTCCATATCCTCATCATTTACGAAGCGAGAGGCAGCAAGAGCATTTAGCTCCTTTTGGGAATCTCCTGGAGAGAGGCGAGCAGTTTAGAAGGCCAGTAGCTGGGGGAAGCTTTTCCTTTTAACCGCTTTGCTCTTTTCATTTTTTTAAATGTCCAGCATTTAGAGGCTCCCGGTCTCTGCCTACCTCCTCCCCGCCTCCAGGGAAGACAAAACCCATCTAGCTAGACTTCTCCTTTGGAGGACTATTTTGAGGAGTTTGCTTCCTGTGATGGGTTAACTTGTGTCCTCCCAAAATTCGTATGTTGAAGTTCTAACTTCCAGTATCTCAGAGTGTGACCTTCTTGGGAAATAAGGTCATTACAGTTGTAATCAGCGGGGTCATGAGGTCATACTGGAGTAGGGTGGGCCCTTAATCCCAGAGGATTGGTGTCCTCATAAAGGAGAAATTTGGACAAGGACATGGATACGGAGAGAACACCATGTGAAGATGAAGGCAGAGATTGGGGTGGCAGTTCTACAAGCCACAGGGCACCAAGGATGCCAGCAAACCACCAGACACGAGAAGAGAGGCGTGGAACAGCTTCTCTTTCATAACCTGCAGAAGGAACCGACCTGCCCACAACTTGATCTCAGGTTTCCAGCCTCCAGATTCTGTTTGAGCCACATCCTCTGTGGTCCTTTGTTATGGAAGCTCCAGTAAACTAATACCGCCTCCCCCATTATCCTCTTCTACCCTGAAGAACTTTCCCCTCCATGACATGCATCATGGAGCCCTGCTCTCACTGCACAGATGAAGAGGCTCCGTGGCTATGAGCCCCCCTCATCGCCTCAAGTGTTAGAGGCAGGTCTGCTCCCCAAGCCTCCTGAAGCTCCATCTTCAACACCATGAAGATGGCATGTGCACTCACAGTGTCCCATATCAGGAGAGCGCTCCAAGAGTACCCCACCAGGTCAGCGCTAGAGCCCCTCTCCCTACAGCCTGATGGCTGCTGGTTCTTGTAGGTAATATTATAAATTGAGGGCTCCGGGGCATAATTTGCCACCTGGAGACACAGAGGGTGCCACACCAGGTCTTTAAGTGTCATCCCCTTGCCACCTGCCCTTGGGTAGAAGCTGAATGACAAAATAGCCTGAAGCTCGTCAAGGGAGGGGAGGAAGCTAGGGGAGGCCCAGGTGACTGGAGGGAAGTGGTTCTTGGGGCCCCAGCAGGCCTGCCTGGGCTGTGCCTGGACTGTGCCTGCTGTGCCTTAGCTGGGCATGCCCTGAAACAGGCCAAGTCTAAAGGGAAGGGATGCAGGTGCTGCCCTACAGAGGCCCCCAGGGAGTGGGGATGGAGGGAAGGAAGGCCTTCCTTCTGCTGCTCTTTCCTCCTGGAAAACAATGCTTCCGAGGAGGGAGGGTATGCTCCTGAGCTAGGCCATCTTGGCACTCCCCCCTTCCCAGGGACACACTGCAGGCGGCACTCCAGGCTTGGGGGTAGGGCAGGGGGTGGGAGGACCAGCAGAGGCCTGTATGAAGGGGACACACAATCAGAGACACAGTATCCTACCCTCTGCCCCCTCTTTCCTGGCAAACCTGGGGGCCCCGGCTTCCCTGCTGCTCCTGGGTCACCCTTTGGGGTAAGAAGAGAAAGTCACTGATAAGAGGATTAGGGGTGGTGGTGGTGAAGACTACGGTGGACAGTGATTGTAAACCAGCATTTCCAGAATACTGGCCCCATGAAATGTTCCTCTTAAAAAAAGGATGCTCTAGTCAAGTAGTTTGAAAATGCTGTGCCAGAGATAACAGTTTTAGAGCTTCCCAATGTACACAGAGCATCTTAAAGGCTCTAAAAAGGCCTGCAGTGTGTGTGTGTGGGGGAACAACCCTGTGAAATATTTTTATCTCTGTATTTCCCAAACATAGTTGGCATGGAAACTTTTTTCATGTGACATCCCTTATAAAACTAGACAAGAGAGAGAGCCCTGCAGGCACAGGGGGCAACAGTTACGTGCTGGAGCTGGTGTGCAGGCAAACTGACCGAGCTCCAGGCCAGGATCCGGGGAGGGGAAGGCATTCCTGACAAGCAAGCCCTGCCTGCGTGGGCCCTCCTCTGCTCAGTCAGGTCCCCAGCTCCGGGTCAGCCTCAGGGGGACGGAGAGCATAACAACAGCAGCCACTGCCACCTCCACCCCATGTGTGATGCTCCGTGTAGCCCAGAACATTCCCTCTGTATCGTACCTTGGCTCCTGGGGTCCCTGGCTCACCCTGTGTGGAAAAAAAGAAAACTCAGATAAAGAGGTGAGGGAGAGGGAGTAAGAGACAGTGCAGGAGTAAATGAGCAAAGGTCCTCATGGGGTTAGGTAAAGCATCTGGCCAGCACAGGGCTTCCCTCTGCCTAGGCCTCAGGTCCCAGGCCAGAGGAGGCCTCTGGGCCTCAATTCCCTATAGTGAGGGATATGGCAAGGGTGAGGGCCAGTGAGGCACCCCACAAGGAGGGAGAGGAAGGAATGGCCATCTGCTTTGGACACAGTACAGTGGCCCCTGTCCACGGACCTGCCGGGAGATCTACATTTGTGCTTCTGGGGGTCCTCACCCATCTGCCTGCCAACCAAATGGGCGGTTAGGGTGGGGTTCAGGGGCAGGACTCCTGCTCTCTTCTTGGGAGCTTTGCAAGCACAGAGCTGCTGAATTCTGAAGCATAAAGGAAAGGGCTGGGTTCCCTTGCACACTGGCAGGGTGGTGAGCCCTTTCGTTGAGGCTCGTAAACCTTTCCTACTTACTCTGCGAGGCTTAGTTAAATGTCTCTTGTTCAAGTTGTGCATAATGGCATCAGTGTTGCCTTAAGAGGAAGGTTTCTGAATCCTGTCCCCTCCTTGGTCCAGTGGCCACCCCACTGAGTCCCTGAAGCCCCAACTCTGTCTTCCTCTCCCCTTCCTCCTATCCTGCCCCTAATGTGTTGAGTGATAACGTTCCACTAACCTTCATCCCGGCCACAGCAATTCCAGGAGTTCCCTGGACAAGAGAAGAAAAAGGCATGGTGACTTTGTGCAGTTGGGGCAAAGCACCAGAGGGAGCGGCCAGCATCCCAGGCTCCCCTCAAGGGGATGTGAGGTGCAATCCCTCAGCAAAGGTGGGTGGCTGAGTCTGGCACAGGAAGCGTTGGCCCCGAGGAAGGAAGAGGCTCTGAGCAGCACAGGTGAGTCCCTCAGGCTCCCTGCCCACCTCCTCAGCATCCAGGCCCTCCTGACGGGGAGCCCATGTGTGTCCAGGTGGGGGTGCATCTCTGGGGTGCAATGTGGGGAGGGCTTCAGTGGGATAAGAAAGGTGGAGGAGGAGATGGGAAGGGAAGGGGGTGGAAGGGAGAGCCACGTGGACGGGGAGAATGGGAGATGGCTGACTTCTGGGTGTGCAGGTGGGATTCTTCTTATAGAGAATTCTCTGGACCTGTGCCCTCATGCACTAGGGAGCAGCTGGGAGTGAACCCGATTTTCACATCTTGAGCTCAAACCAACCACTTTGAGGCTGCCAAATGCACCACTTAATAAATCCCAAGAGGAGGTGATTTGTAGGGAGTCCCTACTCCCTGCAGGGGACTGCAGCCAGAGCTAGGCTTTACTGGAGAAACTATTTGATGACCCAGAGGTGCCCAGGAGGAGGAGGTCTGGCCACCAGGGGGGCGCCGGTGAGTGTCGCTCGTGAACCAGACAGAAGCACCCCGCCTGGAAGAGCAGGCTGGCACGGCAAGGGGAGAGGGCGGGGGAGGAAATGTGTGCCCTGTCTTCATGGCTTCGCAGCGACATGGGAAGGAGAAGGAGCTGGGCTTCCAGAACTTGGCTGGGGCTCAGGGAGGGGCTGTGAGGGATGGGGTGAGGGGCAGGTACCTTTGCTCCTTGTTTGCCCGGCATCCCTGGCATGCCTCGTTCTCCCTGAAGGAAGAAAGAAAAGAAACGCTGAGAAGAGGACCCTACTCGCCCGAGGCCTTGGCCTGTGTGCACGTGGCTGCTCAGCTGTGCACCCCTCCTTCTCATTGCCACCTAGCACCTCTTGCTCCATTATCACTCCAGTAGCTTTGCTCTAGTGGTACCTGCTGGTGGGGCCACAGGGCAGATTGCCCCCCTGCCTCTTCATCTGGGCTCCTCTTCCTCCCAGCTTCCTTGGATCTAACTCCTTCTGAGGGCATGTGGGTCTTGGCCCTATGTGGCAGAAGGCCAGCCTGTGCTTTGCGGGGTGGGGGGTGAAGGGTGGAGGCAGGGCACTGCCTGGAACTCATCCAGAGGTACCAAGACAGCTGTGGCTTCAGGACATTGTGGGCTTTGCTCTCAACCTCAGCAGTGTCCCATCTTTCTCCTTGACCTCTTTTACCTCCTCGTGAAAATGCCAAATCTGTGGAGCGGAGGTGTGAGTTCAGGAAGGACAGCTGGTGACAAATGGAGGTCAAGACGAGTCCAGACTAACCTACTGTGTCAGAGAAGGGGGTGGTGCGCAGGAGAGGAAGGAGGGCAGCCCCCGTCTCCATGAGCTAAGCCCCAGCCAGGGCTCTGAATGCCCTGCAGCGACAGGTGGCTGCCATCCGCTGCTGCAGCTCCCAGCATCTGAAAGCCTCTGAAGGCATCTGAAGGTCTCTGAAGGCATCTGAAGGTTGGGGTTGGCAACGCGGGGTCCTGACAGACTGTGTCCCAGACCGGCCTCCCCACTCAGGACCCAAGAGCGGTGGCCTCAGGCCAGGCTGCAGTTGCCACAGGCTCACAAGGCAGAGGGGGAGACAGGTCCCACCCGGCCTGCATCTTTTCCGCTGTCCTCATCCCTTCTCTGCCATCTTATGGGAAGTCCTATCCACCCTTCTGCTGGCCAAAGCTGGAACTTCTCCCAACCTCTCTCCTCCATGACTGGGTCTCCATGCTGGCACCCGGGTAAGCTCCCCAGGCCGGACAATGACACTCCCTTATTTCAAAACAGCCGCTCCTTGGCGTTGACTCTAGAAAGGGGGCCAGGCATTCCGTCCTCGCTTCCTTCCCAGCCTTATCTCCTCACATCCTGATACCTATTCTCTGTTTCCCTGGAAACACCCCTCATTTTCAGGATGATTGTGCTTTTTGATGGAGGGCAGAGGGAAAGGGAGAAAAAATCTCAAGTAGGCTCCATGCCCTGATGGGGGGCTGGACCTCACGACCCTCAGATCACGAGCTGAACTGAAACCAAGAGTTGGATGCTCGACCCACTGGGCCACGCGGGTGCCCCAGAATTCTATGCCTTTCTGATGTTCCCTCAACTCAACACCCTGTTCATTGTTGGGGGCCCTGGTCAAATACCATCCCCTCTGTGAAGCCTTTTGCTGTGCTCCATAACCCAGTGCTGGTTCCGGGGCGCAGCAGGGACCACTTGGCATTTGTGATCTGCAGGAACGAACTAATGCCTGCCTGGGATGGTTCACCTCCATCCTCCTTGGGCTAAGCCTCTTAATTCTGCAAAAGGCCCAGAAGCTTTAGCTCCAAACACAGGAGCCCTTCCTCACCCTGGTCCACCAGGACCCCTGAGCCACAGGCAAGGTTAGTGGAGCCGCCCTCAGGAAGTGAGCGCAGCAGACAAGTCAGGGCCTGAGATCTGGCCCAGCTGCCAAATTCTGGGAAATGCCTCTTATAGGCCATTTACTGTGTCTGCCAGGGGCCTGGCACAGGGCTAAAGCCTTTACATCTCTCCTCTATTCAGTCTCCAAGACTCCTCTCCAATGTGGCCATGGATTTTTATCCCTGTTTCACAGGCAAACAAACTGGCTCAGAGGGGCCAGGTACAACGGCTAAGGTCATGCAGAGCAGGGATTTGAACACAGGTCTTTGCCAAAGCCCAAGTACCCATTTCTCTAAGCCGACCCCAAGCATCAGATGGGCTGATTCTAAAGCCCCTCTCTGCCGGGGGGCCCTCAGGTCCGTGCCCCACGAGGGTGACGGGATCAGCATAGAAGGGCAGCTCTTGGGCAGACTGAGTCTTTAACCACAAGTGTGCCCTGTGCCAGGAGGATGGAGCCGGGCAGGGCTCCGCCTGCCAGCCCAGGTCTCTCTGTGGCCAGCAGAGGGTGCCACAGGACCTCGGCAGAAGTCTGGCCAGTGTAGCGGATCGTTAGAGCCCCCTCCTCAGAGGCGCCAGCTGAGGGCCACTCTCTCCTTCAGAGGACCAGGATCTCCTGCTGCCATTCCAGCTGGCCCAACCCAACTGACTTAGCCCCGAGGACACTGGGGTGGGGGGTGCAGGGGGGAGCTCAGCCTGGCCCTTCCTCTTCCCCTTAACCTTCTCTTAGTGCCCCGCCTTCCTCTACTCGCCTCCAGCTGGGGGACCTGGCTGGGAGTCAGGAGAGGCCCTGTGACCCTAGGTAAGCCTCTTTCCCTCTCTGGGTGGGAGACCAGAGACCTCCCACCCACCCAGATGAGAGACCTCTGCTCTGACCCTCTCTCCAGCCACCCCCAGCCCCGCCTACCTGAGGTCAGAGTTGGGGAGGGACCCTGGGTCTGTGGGCAGCTCCAGAGCGAGGCCACTGAGGTGGGAGTTGAGCTTGTGGGGAAAATGCTGGTGTAGGAGGGGGTCTCAGTGGGTCTCTGCTTTCCTCCTCCACCCCCCTGAGGGATGGCCACAGATGCTTCGGCAAGGGGGGTGGTGGAGTCTGCTGGAGCCCCATCTCTGGGCTTCTGTCTCCAGTCTCAGCAGGAGCGGTGCAGAGCGAACCCCGGGACTGACGGTTTCCCCGCTAATTGGGGTTGTCCTCAGTCTGGGCTGCTGGCTTGTGTGTAAAGACAAAACTACCCGCCCCAGGGAAATCGGGGCCCCTTGGAGCCTCCTAAGCAGGCAGCCCACCTCGTTAGTGTGGCTGACCTTTGCCCTTTCCTTGCCCTCTGGGTCAAGTCTCTTAATTCTGCAGATGACCCAGGCTCTCTTGATCCCATCCCAGGCCTCCGTCACTCCCAGCCCTCTGTCGGGCAGGAAGCAGGGGTGCCCCAGGCTGACCCCACTCTGCAGGCTCATTCCACTCTCATCAGGCTGGGCTTACCCCAGCCTGACCTCTGACCTGGGGACAGGCCCGGTTCTACGCCAGGAGGCGCCGATGCCTGGATTTGTGAGGTGAGATGGAGCAGAGTCATTGTCAAGGACTTGAGGGTGGCTGTGGGCAAGGGCACCTGTCTGCAGGGAGCGAGAAGGGGCTTTCTGGTGGCTATTGCTAAAAGGAGGTCCATGATGCTTCTGTTCGTACAGGTTCCCCTCGGTTTGTCTTTGTGAGGGCATATGTACAGGCTCCTTTTTCCACATTTCCCTTCTTAAAAGTGTTCCTGTTTAAAAGGTTTAAGTTTGGAGGGGCACCTGGGTGGCTCAGTGGTTGACTGTCTGCCTTCGGATCAGGGCGTGATCCTGGGGTCCTAGCACTGAGTCCTGCATCAGGCTCCCTACTCCGAGGGGACCCTGCTTCTCCCTCTGCCTATGTCTCTCCTCTGTCTGTCCCTCATGAATACATAAATAAAATCTTAAAAAGAAAGGTCTAAGTTTGGAATTGTGCTGAATTTAGATTCACTAACTGGCAAGTGTCTTCGTCTTAGGTACAGAGGGCGTTCTCCTAGTCAGTCCAAGTCTGAGGTCTCCTATTTTTCCACTCTATCTTTGCCTTTCCTTATCCTCCCAGTAGGACTCTGGGGCCCCCCAGTGGGCCCCCAGTGATGCTATCTGGGCCACTCTGCAGCTGGGGAGGTGGGCATTCTGAGCACTGCGCAGGTGCACAGAGCATGGCTGGCACAGGCTGCAGTGGAATCAAGCCGGCGACCCCAGGCCGGGACATCCCACCACCGAGGAGCCTGGCTCTTTAGCCAAGAGGCTGCCAAGAACCTGTGCCTCACTGCTGGCCAGGAAGGGGTAGATTCCAGTCACTGTGGCTCAGAGAGCACTGGGTGAGCACAGGTGGGTAGTGAGGGGGCTGCCTCCCATGACCGGGAAGGCCCCTCCCAGTCCTGACTTGTACCATGCCGGGGCCTCTCCAGCTGAGCCTGGCATAGGAGCGCCTTGCGGCCTCAGTACGTTGGCTATTCTGGTCCCCACTTCCGTGGAGGGACCCACCGCTTACCAAGATCACAGGATGAAAGCCAGCTCCTTGGAGCACAAAATGGCCACACTCCTGTCCTGCGGGAGTGGCCTCTTAATTGGTGATTTACTGTTTGTTGAATGAGCAGGGCAGGGACTTGGCAAGAAGACGTAGTCTGGAGGGAGGTGGGGGGCTTCAAGGTCAGCTCCCCAGCTAAGCAGGGGTCAGGCCAGGGGAGTGTGGGGAGATGAATGGACCTCCCTCGTGTGGAGCTCCCGCTGCAGCCCTGCACCAGGGGAGGGCCCTCGATGAAGCAGCTCCACACACAGACTCTTTGTTCTCTGCAGGGAGGAGGAAGACCTGTCTGAGAGCTGGGCGCGCAAGGCTGCAGGGGGAGGCCAGCGGGCGGCTCTGGCCTCTGCCTGGACCAGGGCCCTTCCCTGGGCTGGGAAAGCAGGCAAGGCAGGCTCACGTCTCCTTCTGCCCTAAAGGGTTCCTAGGACTCCCTTCCAGGAAAAGGCAGCTCATTTCCTTCCTCGCTGCCCTAGCCAGCTTCAGACAGGAGAGGACTGGATCTGCAGGAACGGAGATGCCAGGTCCTCTGGTAATTAGGACCGGCAGGAAGTAATCTGGGGAATTACCGGGGTCAGGCGCCCCATCGAAGGCCGGGGCTTTGGAAGGGCGGCTGGCTTGTAATCTCGATTTGAGATCGGTTGATTTTGTAGTTAGCTCCAAAAAGAAAAGTCAGCTCTAATTAATCTGTGGGCTTTGGAGTGTGGGAGAAACAGGGCCCAGAGAGCACAAGCTGGGGGCTGGAGGCCGGTAGGGTGAGACTCTCAGCCCCCACGAGGCCTCCAATCTGAGGCCCATGTCTCAGATCCCAGATCTGCTTTAATTGAAATGGTCTGCATGTCCCCGGTGGGATTTCATGGTTTTGAAAGAAAGTGCTGTCCGCACCCCAGAAGACTCCTGCATCTACAGCTTCCGTCTGCATGGAGTGCTCTGCTGCAAGCACGTGAATGCTGCGTGCAGCTTGGGGTTCCTCAGGCCCTCTGAGAGCCAGACGGGTACGGGGGCCTCAGGAATGGCAGTGGTGGGGGCCTGATTCAGGCTGTCTTCTCCTGCCTTTAATGGAAGTCGCGGGACTATGCAAACTCCTTGGGGGAATAATTTGGGGGATCAGTGCCAATGAACAAAACACTCCACTTTCCAGATTCCTTGACTGAAATGCATCAAGGACCCCAAGGTCTGCTCACAGAGAGGCTAGGAAGCTCTGAGAAAGGCCCGAATCCAGCTGCAGCCTCTTTTCTCTCAGGAACATCAGCTCAGCTTCCACCTTCTTTCTTTCTAGGGGAGGAGGGGCCTCCCGGAAATCGGTTATGATGGCATCTATCCCTTCTCCTTGCTCATAAGGCCCATGGAGTAAAGTCCCTTGGGGGTAAGGATTTGGTTTTGCTACTTCCTGGACTCACCTCTCTGGGCCTCAGTTTACTCATCTGTAAGTTAGGGTTAGGAATGATCATGCCCCTTTGTAGAAGGATTGGGGAGGGGTGAGAAGGACCGGCATGGCCGTAGAGTCAGGGGGGCCTACTTGCGCTGGGTGGGCAAGCTTCTGGTCCTCTCACCCTCACCCTGGTGCCCTAGACATCTGACCTTAGGGCCCATCTGACCTTCTCCCCTGGGAGCCCCATAGCTTCCAGTAAGTAACCGCGGAAGTAACCGCAGCTATAAGCAGCTCTGGCGTGAGGCTCTCACATCCTGCCTCCCCTGGCCTGAAAACGCATAGTCCCCAGCCTGCGGGAAGGGACTGTGTGCTTCAGTCACGGTCCTTCATGCGAACCCCAAGCCTTACCACCCAGACCGCCCGTGCGTCAATGCACCCCCCGCTGCCATGTCAGATGGACCAGCTCCGACACGCTTGGAGATAAGCTCTCACCAGGTTTTGTGATCCACATATAGTCTGACAATACCCATCCATCCCCTTGAAAGAGAGCCAAGGTTGTAATGTTTTAAACACACTTTGCATCTTACAACATATTTAAAGTAGATCGGTGGCCATAAATTTGGATCAAATTGGTACCACATGGGTGAGCAACACTACTTGTAGTGTCTAGGCAGAAGGGCTGGTCCCAAGCAGGGCTGGGGGGCGGCATGGGGCCTGCTGGCCACACCAGGATTTGATCCTAAGGATCTAGAGAAGAAGCTCCTGCTGGCCTGGCTGGCCTTTGAGAGGATGCTAGGCTTGGTCCAGCTGCCCAGGGGTGGGGGTGGTGATGGACGGAACTAATCATTAGCAAACTTTGCAGGCCAGGAAACATCTTTGCTAAGAGTTAAATTCCACCGATGCTGAAAGAAAGGCCTCCCTGCATGTGTATCAAGTCGCTGGGACAGAGCAATTGAAGCAGATGTGGAGGATCTGTTGGTTACCCCATGAGCTCCCCTTACACCCTAAACACAGGCGATGGTCCCATGGCTTCTGTCCCAGCTTGGTGTCCTCACCGCCAGCCCTCCCTCCTCCCTGAGTGGTGGGGTGGGGGCAAACCCATCTGCCCAGCCTCCAGCTGTCTCTAGCTCTCCCCACCCCAGTGCCCCATCCCGAGCAGAGAGAGAAAGCGACAGAAAAAGAACTGACAGACAGAGATGGAGCTTGGGAGACAGGCCCCCACATCCTGGCCAAGGCACAGAGAGGATGGTCTGTGCACAGTTAGCTCAGGCTGGGCTGAGACCCTCTGAGTAGACGCTCACTTCTGTGCTTGGACAAGAAGACTGGCCTCTGGGCTTGGGCTCGCGAGACCTGGCTTCCAGTTCCAGCATGATCATTCGCCAGCTGTACAACCTTGGGCAAAGCATTAACTTCTCTGAACTTCTCATCTGTACCAGGGGGATAATGAGCTCTAATGGGCCGTGGTAAGGACCAGGTGGGACCGGGAGTGAGTGAACTTTGGCTGAACCAGAGATGAGAAGTATTGCTGCACTTGCCCCTGGGTATGAGCCTCTATCTCAGAGCTCCGATGGGAAGCAAACGTTTGCCTGCATATAGTGGTCACTGGCTCAAGACACCCACAGCTCCAGTGGGGCTGGGACAGTGGGACGGGTACTTGTAGCCTCCGGAGAGTCACATAACACACCAGCCTCAAGCTGAGGCCTCCCATCCTCAGGACAACAGGCCCCAAGCTTCTTTCTGGATGAACCAGATTTCCAGTTGGCCCTCGAATGCAGATGCCCACCATAGTAGGGTGGCCAGCCACTGGGGGAACCTCTGCGCCTGCACTGCACCAGGAGGCAGTAAATTTTGAGTCTGTGTGCGTGGATGGAAGCAACCGCAAAGGCTATAATTTCCACTTCCTGACACCATACAAACTTCTCAGTTTATGCAGGACTAATTAAAGGTCTCTCCGGGCTTGCCATTCACCCCCCAAGCACCCATAAAACAATGCGGTGATGGCAGCCCCTCACCCCCCAAGCACCCATAAAACAATGCGGTGATGGCAGCCCCGGATTATAGAGTGCAAGGAATGTGCTTCTCCAGAGCAATCTCTCCCTTTCCCAAATCCCTCCCCCTTCTTGTCCTCCCTTTCCTTCCTGCCTCCTTTCTTCTCCTGGTGCTGGGGTCTGGAGGTCTGCACGGGCTCCCTGCAGTGGGTGGTACCACGGGAAGGACCCAGGCCTGGGCTTGAGTTCCTGCTCTGCCACTTAAGAGCCTCGAGACTTTAGGCAAGCCTCAAGTTCTTCAATTGTTGAATAGGAGAACAGTACCGGCCCCACAGCCCCGCAGCTCGGTCACATCCAAGGACAGCCCGGGACACGGTAGGCATTTAGTAAGTGGTGACTACTGTTGAGATGATTTACATGTTACTGTTACTGTAATGACCACCTCTGGGCTTTGCTCACACTGTTTCCCTGTCTGAAAGGCCAGGTCCCCTCAGATTTTCTGGTTGAAGGACAACAGTGGTGGCTTGGCAAAGGCCACTAATGTTTTGCTATTCCTCCTTCAAGAAGGGGAGGCTGAGTCCCTTCCCCTCCCCCCACTGACATGCATGACTTGGCCATGTGACTTGTTTTGACCGATAGGACATCAGAAAGCATGATGCCCATGACCACTCTGGAAAAGCTCCTGTGCACTCAGACTTGGCAGGTTTGAACACTGCCCTGGGCCTACCATACTGTAGGAAACCCTGTATAGGCTACTGGGGGGCGCTGAGAGGGCCATGTTGTAGAGAACAGAGCCACCCAGCCCACAGCCTGCACCAGCCACCAACATCTGGAGGCTTCTCCATCTGTCATCTAATGCAACTGCATGAGTGAGTCCAGAGGAGAGTAGCAGCACTCCCGGATGGCCCATCCACAGAACCAGAATGGAAATAAATCCTCGTTTTAAGCCGGGAAGTTTGGGATGGTTTGTTACACAGCTTTAGATAACTGATACACCCACCCATTTGCCAGGATTGAGCTCACAGGTTGTCTTCTCCCAGAAGACTTCCCAAACTCCTCCCAACCTGGAATTAATCTGTCTACCCTCCGCCACCCATATTCACACAACGCTTTGTGATGAGAGCTTAGCACGATCTGCCTTCATAGGAATCTGTCTCTCTGGACCGTGAGTTGCCAGAAAGCAGGCCTGGGATCCCTACCTCCGAATCCCTCACCGTGCTTAGCATGGACCTCTGCCGAGGGCGGGGCCTGGTAATCTGGTAATCTGCTCCCATTTACCAGGCCCTCGGGGGTTCAGTGACAACCTGGCCTGCCTCAGTATAGATATAGCGACCCAGGTTGGTGGTAGGAGACCCACCTGGTTCTGAGGTCTGCCTAAGGCCCTGCCCCTCTGAGTCTTTTCCTTCCCCAAGTGGAGACATGAACTCTTGTCTGGTCAACCTCACAAATGTGAGGCTCACACTGGGCAAGTGTGTGTGCAAAAATACATGTGCGTGACCAAGTCCTGACCCTGTATGCACTGTGGTGAAGCCCCATGTGGGTTACTACTGGGGGGTAGGGTCATCCCCTCCCCTTCCTGCTTACCTTCCGACCGTGGTAGCCCTGGATTCCTGGGTCTCCCTGGGGGAACAAAGAGAAGACCATTAGTGGGATTTTCCAAATGCCAAATTTTGGCTCGCACTCTTCCCCTCACATCGCCATTCCTCTTCTTCTCAATGACTGCAAATCCCCCCGACTTCCGGCCCTCCCTGGAACAATAGCTCTGCTTCCTGTGTGGCCAGCAGAGACCATTCTCTTCAGAACAAGTCGCCAGTTTGCAGAGGCAGAGGGAGGTGGACAGGGTCAACTTGGCAGGGGCCCATGAGACCCGAATGTTGGTTTTGATTCCATCAATGACTCTCTGTCGAGCCTGGACAAGTCACTCTTCCTGAGGGCTCTCAGCCTCCACATGTATAAAATGGTTGGGTAGGGTCAGTGCTTTGCAACTTTGTGTCCCAGGGCCTCAGGGCCCCCAGCTTCAGAGAGAGAGTCAGTTTAACACGTGGGCTTACAAACAAGGTCTCACAAGAGACCAGATGATCCCAAAGGTCGCCCTTCTAGCTCTGACTCTGTATGATACACCCTTTCATTGAGATGTTGTGACAGTGTCCTGGGCATCAACCTGGAGTCTCCAACCAGACCTTAAGCTCCCTGGAGGATGGGACCATGGCTTCCATACTGGTCATATGGAAGTGTGCCTGGGGACACCAAAGTGCAATATCTGGGGGACCCAGGTGGTTCCCCAGAGGACAATGGCACTTTGGAAGTGAGTCAAATGTGACCCATCTCTCACTGAGGTCACTCTCAACTCCTCATCCAGTAGCCTGCAGTGCTGTCTCCCCTCCTTCTGCAGACAGCTGTCCCGCCCATGCAGTGCATCACCCGAAGGGCCCTCACCTTTGGTCCAGGAGGCCCGGGTAAGCCCTGTGGAGGCAAGAAGAAGGTGAGTGGAGATGGAAAGTTCTGGCAAACAGTGTGGTTAGGCGTGTTTACTGTGGAGGCTGGGGGCAGAGGAGTGCTCGAGTAGCTATAATGAGTTCTGGATATGCTAGAGACGAGATCTAGAAGATTCTGGAATGGTATCTGAAATCTGCTGAGGACATGTGGGGACAACAGGCTCACAGCTCCCTCTGGAGCCATGCAGGCGCTGTGGGCATCTCTGCTGTGCTCACCCGCTGGAAAATAGGTCAGCGGCAGCCTGTTAAACTGACAGTGTGGTTTGGTCCGGGTCCCCACCCTCCCACCTCCTGATTGGGACCCCTCCCTGGGAAGCCGACCTTGCTCAGCAGAGCGTCGGTTTTGCCTTTGGCTCTACCAGCCTTCGAGGGAGCCTTCTGTCTCCTTCGGCCCAGGGTGCTGCGACCACAGCACTCAGCCATGGTGGGGGGATTGGGGGCAGGGGTGGGGGTGGCCCAGGGCCTGCGGGAGCCCAAGGGAGAGGCCAGGGCAGGCTGGCTCCACCGTGGTCTGGGGCAGAGGTCTGAGCAGCAAACATGGGCAGGAGAAAAGCAAGATGCCCAAGTCTGGGCTGTTTCAGTCGGCTTCAAAACATGCTTGCTGGTTTTTTCTTTATAAACAACCTAACAAAGAAAACCACCTGGCTTGGGTTCAGTGCGTGGGAACCCAACATGTCTGGGCGGTAAGGGTCCTCAAAGAAGTGGATTTTGAGGAGTTTTTTTTGGTTCTCTTGGTTTGGTTTGGTTTCATTCCCTAAATTTCACTTCCTTTTTAGGTTTTCCACTTTCCCATCTACAAACCCATGGAAGTGAGACTAATCTTCCTCCTGGGATCCCACGACACAGCGATAGTTAACATCTATCACGGAGGTCAAGCTGGGCAGGAGGGCTGGCAAGTCAGGTTTCACACCGAGCTGAGCTGCCAAGCTGGGTGCCCCGGGTGGCCAGAGCTGTGGGCCAGCCTGGAGGGTCCCTGCACCAAGCCTCAGCATTGGCAGCTGGAGCAGCTGATGGGCCCAGGTGCAAGGCCGAGTGACCTGGAAGGTGGCTATCCTCGTGGAGGGCTGCCTGGCAGTGACATCGCTGACCTGGCCATTCCACCTCTGGGAATCTACTGCAGTGAAGGCATCAGAGATGCACACAAACATCTACGTTCAAGGATATATATTACAGAAGGGAACTCATTACCTACTTGTAAATGGGCCCAGCAGCCCTGCAATCCACACCACGGGAGACTCCTGCTCTAGGAAAGGGTGTGGTTTATGGTGTTGAGTGAAAAACATAACGGGACACAACCTGTTACCTTATTCAGACTGTTACCAACCTGGAAGATGTCTACATGTGGATGTGTCTAAGGAGAAAAATGGAAGGGGGCCCTCCAAAATGTTAATGACGGTGAACTCTGGATATGGCAAAACAGACAATTTAAAGCTTTTTCTTTGTCTGTGTTCCAAATTTTTCATAATGCGTGGATGATGCTTTTGTCCTAAGAAAGAAAAACAGGGGGCGCCTGTGTGGCTCAGTGTCTGCCTTTGGCTCAGGTCGTGATCCCAGGATCCTGAGATTGGATCCTGCATCGGGCTCCCCCGAGGGAGCCTGCTTCTCCCTCTGCCTGTGTCTCTGCCTCTCTCTTTTTGTCTCTTATGAATAAATAAATAAAATCTTAAAAAAAAAGAAAAATAGGGATCCCTGGGTGGCGCAGCGGTTTGGCGCTTGCCTTTGGCCCAGGGCGCGATCCTGGAGACCCGGGATCGAATCCCACGTCAGGCTCCCAGTGCATGGAGCCTGCTTCTCCCTCTGCCTGTGTCTCTGCCTCTCTCTCTCTCTCTCTCTCTCTGTGACTATCATGAATAAATAAAAATTAAAAAAAAAATAAACAGACTTCCCCCTTAACCCTGTCCCTTCAGGAACATAGGACATTGGTCTTGGCTCTAAGACTGATAGAACCCATTTTCGGCAAAGAGGTCCAGGTGCCTGCTGAGTGATTCCCCTGCTCTGTTGCACCAAGTAGGCCGACAGCGTGGGTCTTGGCCAGAGCTTGGAAACCCGATGGCTTAGTGGACACCCGACCTGACCTACTATTGCCTGAGTGTGGTCTTGCCTGAAGGGGGCACCTGTCTGCCCCCCTTGGCCCACAGTAGCCATCCGATCCTCAGGCTTGATGCGATATCTCCCTGGCTTACTAGACATGCAGATTGGCTGGAAGGCGGCCCAAGACTGTAAAGCGCACATACAGCAGCAAAGGCATGTTCATTAGGATGCCAGGTGGTCAGGTGTGCCCTTGCTATCTGGCTCAGAACCCACTGCCCCCAGCTCAGGGTGTCCTCCAGCTCAGGGGTCAGGGGACACCCATCAAAGGGTGGGCCCTGGGAACGTTCTTTCCGAGCTCCTTTCTGCTGAGGCTGAGAACGGGGCGGCCTCTGAAAGGCAATGACTGGACTTGAGGCCTGGCCCCAGAAGCTGGGTTTTCAGAACCAGAGCATAACAGGTGAACGGGGCCCGGTAGCTTCTTGCAGGAGCCACCCATGTCCAGTGGCCTTGCCAAGGTGTGGACCCTTTAGTGGGGACCCAGGTTCTTATCAGTTATGCACGGTTTGGATTCTTCCAGAGAATTTTTGGATAACTCTTGGGAGAGGAGGTGGTAGAGAGAGAAAGGGAAAACTTACGGGTGGCCCCATGGGCCCTGGCAGTCCCGGGTACCCCAGAGGTCCGCTTGGTCCAGGGGGGCCTGGTGGCCCTGGTGGGCCTTGGATACCGGCCTGGCCCTGTTCACCCTGATGTTGGTGAAAACGAGAGTTAGAGGGAGAGCCCCAGGGCTGGGGAGCGGCTCCCACCCCAGTGCCATGCACCCAGTGAAGGCCCCATCAGGGGCTCTGGTGGGAAGGCGGTGTGGCGTGATGGTGATGATGCTGTGGTGGTGACTGCATGCAGGGACCAGTGGCAGCAAGGAGACGGCCAAGACATGAGGCCCCCAAGAGGAAGGGTCCAGGGAGGACCTGCTGCACAAGCAGCTGGCCCTAGAGCAAGAACCCTGTAGGGGGCAGGGGTAGAGGAGTGAGCAAGATGACCCTGCCCGACCATGGGCATGCTCTGGGCCTGGTCAGATGGCCGGAGTCCAGTCCACGTGGTCCTCAGCCTGGCCTGCCTCGGCCCCTCCCTCCGCGTGGCCAGTCACATCCTCTCTCTGGGCCGGGCCTCCCAGCCTTTGAGTGAGAGCAGCGGTCCCCTATTTCCAGCCACAGCATTTTGCTGTCTGATTCTCTGGCCCCGAGTGTCAAAGGAGGCCCTTGGGTCAGAGGCCACAGAAGTTGGTCTGGCTCACTAGACAACGGGGCAAGAGCTCCTGTGTAAAAACATTTGGACTGGGGGCTTCTGATGTCACACTGGGAGCCCTGGCACTCGAGGCCTGCATTCTGGCGGGGGCCACCCCCCCCCCCCCGTAAGTGACAGAGGCAGGCTGACTCCCCCCTTCCCCATCCTCTCTGCAGGCCGCCTGCTTCTGTCACTTACGTCATCTGTGCTTGGCCTCAGACGACAATTGAGTTGGCAACCCTGAGCTGATTGAGTTTTGGGAACTATAAAGGGCTGTATGTCTGTCGGGGGTCCCCATTAGCATTCTTGTGCCCTGCCCCCACTCCTCAGGCAGCTGCTCTGAGCCCAGCCCCTTGTCACCCACCGTGCCCGTGTCCAGGATGGGCTGAGGGCCCAGAGAGCTAGGGGTGGCATAGTGTTCCCTCAGGAAGAGGAGAGAGCCTGGTCCATGTGACCCACATTGTGGGGCCGGGGGCCAACCAGAGTCATCCTAGATCTGGACCAAAGCTGTCACGTTACTTTCTAAGTGACCTCTCCGGGGACCGTCTGGGCTCAGCTCCTATGAGAAGAGGCCCATCCCTGCAGACAGACTGAGGCAGAACCACCTGGCAGGCATGCGAGCTCCGGGCTGGGATGTGGGGGGACACGGGTGGCCAGAGCTGCAAGCCGGCCAGCCTTCTGGGTGTGCTCCCAGTGACCCTCTGTGACCCTCCTACCGTCTGTAGGAACGGGGGTGCCGAGGATGCCTGCTGCAACCCCATGGGAGGAAAAGATGAGGAGAAACGGGTGGGCAACCTCAGAATGAGAACTGTCGGGTTCCAGCAGCTGCTGCCTGAGCCTCCCTGGGCCAGGACATCCTCGCCCAGATGGCACCCAGCACAGTCATGCTGGGGCCCGGGCTTCATCCTGCCGTACCCTCTGAGAAGCCACCCGAGGGAGGGCACAGGATGCCCGTGGTGGAGGAGGCAGGGGCTGCCTGGATCACGAGTCCCATTTCACAGAAGAGAAAACGGGCTCAGAGAAGGTGAGCTCCCTGACTGAGGTCACATGGAGAATTTGTGGGGAGCCAGGTCCCAAACCCGGAACTCCACACTGTTCCTACTCGTTCCAAATAAGCCCCCAGAAAAAACTACTCACTGTCCAACTTTCTGCACTTTGGAAATGGCCTCCAACACCATCTGCTAAGTACATCATATTTCATATAGTTTCCTCTTTCAGCAAATGTTAGGCCAGTGTTTAAGCACCTTACAGAGCCTGTAAAATCAATATCGCTTTATTGATAGGAAATGGGTAGGCCTTTTTACGTCCTGTGATGGGCGACCGCAGAAAAACCCTTTTCTCCAGGCACGATCCACGGCGGGTGGGGAAGGGGCCCCTATGCTTCCCTCTCTACTTTGGAAACCAGGTCAGGGCAGCACAGAAAGTTCTGGCGCTCCCACGTCCTGCCCTTGAAAAGGGAGACAGTGACGTGCAGTGGCCTGGATGGGATCCTGGGCACCCTCTCGATTTCTTCATCCGTAAGGTGGGCATGATTATGATGGCACCTGCGCCGCCCGCTGGCCGGTGTGACATGACACCAGATAATCCATGTGGCATTCTTACCGCAGCGCCTGGAGCCCAGCGAGGCTTAACGAACAGCATCTAATGTAACTAAGGCCAGGAGGTGGCTCCTGGGGGCAGAGGCGAACAGCCAGTGTGAGGGCAAGGGCAGCTCTTCTGGAATGGGGTCTGACACAGGTAGGGGGGTGACAGGGGAGCGCTGGTGCTTCTCTGAGCTGCCGGTGGGCCCCCTGAAGAGCCGTGCCTGAAGTAAGCCTTGGGAGCACATGGAGGCTCTCGAGGATTTGGCTGCTGTAATGGGATATGCAGGCTCGGGTGGCACACGCGTCAGGTGGCCCTCTGTATTTTTAGCTGTTAATTGGAGTGATTCTTCAGCCTTGTTCAATCAGGTGCCTGAACCGCTGGCCCCTGGGCTCCTGACTCCTGAGTGTGGCCAGATGGTGGCTCCGGGCCCTGCCGTCGGGCTTTCAGAGAGCATCTCGGAGCCCTGCCCCTTCCAGCATCCCCTCGGCCCTGGGGGTCACCTAACTCCTGCACAGCATGAGGAAGGCTGGGGTGTAAGTGGCGGCCGTGGGCTGCCCAGCCCAGAATCCAGCTGCAATGCCTGTGTCTGGGTCCCTGGCTCTGCGGTCTCTTGTTTTCTGTTCTTTGTAACCTGGCCCTACCCTAGCCTCCTTGGGTTCGTAAGGCAGGCAGAAGGAAGCAGTTGCTCACAACGATTACACCTGTTGGTTGTGGGCTACATTCCCTCGGCAAATTCCCTCGCTCCTCAAACTCAGATTACAAGTGATCAAGTGCTAAGCAATCCATTTCTAAATATAAAGGGTGTAGTCCAATGGAGACCACAAATGTGGGGTCTGAAGACCTGGTTGCCGGGTTCCCATTCTGCCTCTCGCTGCTTGTGTGACCTTGGGCACAAATTCACTCCTCTGAGCCTCAATTTAATAATAGCAGGAGCTATCCCAAGTGCTTTGCACACACTGTAGCTCTTTGCAGCAGGGACCCTTAATGTCCCCATTTGACAAATGAAAAAGCGGAGGCACAGAGAGGTTAGGCAATTTGCTCCCAACCCTGCAGCTAATGAGAGTCACAGAAGCTGGGTGCTCTGCAATGTACTGGGTGTGTGACCTCGGTCAACCGACTGGGTGTCTCTGAACCTTGCCTTTCTCATCTGCGAAATGAGCATGATCGTGCCTAAGCCATAAAGTGGTCAGAAGAATGAGGCGAGCTCGGCCCTGTGAGACCCGTAGCACCGTGGCTGGCACCCTGCGCTGCTGTTGCTGCTGACGGCTCTGGGGAGCTGAGGTGTGTGCCAGTGGGGGGACCTCCTGGGCTTGGGCCTCTTGTGTTTCCACATCTGTGCCATTCATGGGGCCAGTTTTGTCTAATTGAATTGAACTGAAGTAGAGTGAGGTCCTGGCTTTCTCTCCAGCCCTAGCTGGCCCGTCGGGGCCCGGAGCCCTGCCAAGCCCCCGGGGAAGCCACGCGTGGTCCCGACAAAGGGACGGTGTCTACCTGGAAGGTCCGTCTTTTTATGACTGGGGGTGGAGCCAGTCGCACAGAATTGAGGAGAGGCAGCAGCTGAGGAGAAAGATGAGTTGGAAGGCCAGAGGGCAAAGGCCAAAGATCGCAGATGCTCAGAAGGATGCCGAATGTCGCCAGGAAGGCAGGGTGGCCAAGTGGGAGGGGAGGAGAGGAAGAGAAAAGAGTGATTAGCGAGCATGAGGCGCAGGGAGGAAGGTGTGGGTGGGCCCTCTCGCCGTTCGAGGGGCGCAGCGCCGAGCCTGCCCTTGGACGGCACACGGTCCCCTGGGTGTTGGCCAGCAGCACCCCCGACTGGGAGAGTGGTCCTCCTCGGCTGGGCCGCAGAGGCCCCTGGACACACAGCCCACCATTGCGCTGTCGGCCCCTCGTCTGTCCCTGGCGGTGGACGTGGGCAGCAGAGGCAGAGGCTCGGGAGGGACCCACAGGACCAGCTAAATTGGGACTTGAGGCCAGGCTGGTGTGTGGCAAACTCTGGGCTCTTTTTTTGGTTGAACGAGAAAGGTTAGCGTCAGCGAATCTGGGGAGGATGGTCACGGGCAGTGCCAAGTCGGGCTCCCGGGGGCTGAGCCGGCCGAGGGTGTGGCCAGTGTGGGCACGAGCTAAGTGCTTCTGAGGTCTCTCCGTGCCCCCCCGCAACCCCCCGGGGCTGGTGGGTTTGGAAAATAAAGGCTGGGCAAAGATGTCTCCAGCATGTTCAACCACTTTTTTGGGGCAGGCAACTTTCAATCACATTAGCTACTGTGATCTTCATTTCTGGACATTCTCGTTGCTTCCAGCCTCTCTGAGCATCCCAAGGCTTCAGGAAGCAGTTAGAGGCCATGTGACAAGGGTGGCGTATCATTGACCCCTTGTTTTTGAAAGCATTTTACCTCACTCGAGGCCCCTGGGATGAGTGTTAGGACCCGGGGGCCCACCTGGACTGAGACCTGGGAGCCTGCTGTGGCCTTTCCAGGTCCTGCTGCTTTGAGGGGCAGCGGCTGCCCCGAGAGCCCCACTGCCTCCCACCGTGGGGCCTGGGGACGTGCAATGTTGGGTTCTGCGTCCAGGGAGCCTCCCCACAGAAAGGGGTCCGCAGACCTTCCAGAAGCCACAAACCTTCAGGGTAATGATCTGGTTGGAGCGTAGAGCCGAAAGGGTGCTGCTCAGGTGCTCCTGGCATGGGAGGGGACCGAGGTGGCAGAGACAGGGCGACCGGGGCGTGAGTGCCGGAGCCCACAGACACCAGCTGCCTTGTTCCCTGTCCCGGGGTACTCCACGCCCCACTCCCCCCTTCTCTCCCCCCTCCCTGGGATGCTACAGGCTGGAGCAGAGGCAGGATCTCTGGTTAGCTCTTGGAGCAGAGGCAGGATCCTGGAGGCCTGCCACCCCCGTCATGCCTGCAGACCCCTCAGAACACCAACAGACCATTCTCCCTAGATGCTCCCTGCTTTCCTACCCACTTCCAGATCAACAGGGGGTGCCAGCTGCCTTGCCCTGTCCAAATCGGCTCTCACCCCTGCCTGACTTGGTCTCTAACCCTGCCACAGTCATAGCTTTGCTGCACTCTGTGGCCAAGATGCTTCTGGAGGCTTCCATCACTGCTCTCTCTCTCTCTCTCTGTCTCTCATTGAATCGAGGGGCAGAGAGCCTCCCCACCTCCACTCCTCCTCCCCCGCACTCACTAAGGACGGATGACACACTGCCAACATGTCTGCTGTCGTGTTGTCTTTTGTGCTGGGGGATGCTGTCTTTCTTTCGGGTAACATAACAATCCTGTGAGTCCATCGTTTCAAATAAACACAGCTGACCTTCTATTATTGTATCAGGATCAGGCTGGCCGGAACACCAGTGCCCCTGCGTTCCTGGAGCACATGTCGCTGACAGGCTAGCTCTGTCTGCGTGGCCACCAGCCTGCGCCCCCTGCCCAGAGCCCAACCCAGCTTTGGCCTCAACCCCCAAACCCCACTGCTTATGTTGAAGACTGCCTGCAGCCTCTCCCCAGGAGCCCAGGAACTCCGGGGTCAGAGTCCAAGTGGCTGGATGCTACTGGCAAGGCCTTCCCAGTGGCCCTCTATAGCCAGGTCGACTCTAGTCCCCTTGCCTGATGGGGGTGGCAGCCAGGGAAGCCACACTGTGCATGTGTTTCTGGGCACAATGAGGCCATGGTGTAGGGCTGGGCACCCAAAGATCCTAGGGTCTGAGAGCAATATTTTTCTGGTCCCAGGTCTTACTGGAAGGCCCACATCTTTCCCCTCTGTGTCCCAAGAATGCCCTCCTGCTATTGTTGCATATGTTTGTAGCTTCCTAATAGGACTACAGCAGGTTTGGGGCCCTATATCCTGGGGCAAAGCAAGGAAAAGGAAGGAGCTAAGTCATGGGAGTGACTGGGAGGCCATCCCAGCCCAGAGAGTCCCCACTCTGCTTGGAGAAGGCCTCTATTCCTAAGGAGGCAAAACAGAGACTTTATCCTTGAACTGATAGAGCCAGCCTCCAGTTATCTCCCACCATTGAGGTCTGGGTCATCTGCAACAATGACTAAGCTGAAAGTCCCTCTGATTCAGCCGGGGCAGGAAGCCAGGCATGCACACCCGGTCACACACACACACACACACACACACACACACACACACACACACACACGGGGCAGGGAGTCAGACTCACAGACTCACACAAGCTGCACAGCCCTACAGAGGGCGCGGTGTGCAGAGGAGTCGCAGGACCAGATACCCGGAGTTCCAGTACGCACACGCTGGGAGGCTTGCGGGCCAGCCAGCACAGGGGCACATGCACAGAGACGTGCACGGGCGGGCGGACGTGAGCCCTGGAGACTAGACCTGCACAAGCGCACTGCTGACCACCAGGCACACTCCAGGGCTGGGGGACGGCCACCCCCACGGCCACTGCTCTGGCCAACCTCTGTGGGTACTGGGGGTCCCAGGGAGACGAGGCTGAGCTGGGGGCTGTGCCCAGGGGATGGATCAGTGTCAGGGGTTCACTTACCCGATGTGGGTACTCTCCACACTGCCCCTGGGGAAGGGAGGGAAGCAGAAGACCGTGTTAGGCACTCTGGGGAAATTGTGCCTCAGAGGCATCCTCAGGACCTGGGGACATACCACACGTACTCATCCCCCACCAGCCCTGCTCTGGTCCTGGACTAAACTCTCTGAGGCAGGAGATCAAACTCCCTCCCTCCCGCTGGCTGGCAGCGGGGAAGACCCCTGAGGTCTGCCTGGACATGGTCTTGTGGGACACAGGGCAGGATTCTCCTGCCATATCCCACTTGCCATGACCGCATTCAGGAGTTATGTTCCATGCCTGGCTGGAGGTATCTTCCAGAAAAGGTCAACCCTCTGGGTGGGTCCATCGCACTGCCCCAAGCAGGAGCCTCTGGATGGGAAGTGCAGACACGGAGGGGGGCTGTGGGCATGGATCCCTCGGAGATGCCTTCTCTGAGGTTGGGGGTGCCAGGTGCACCCAGCAGAGTGTGCAGGGTGAGCCCAGCAGAGTGTCCATGAGAAATTTAAGGAGATGGCAAATGTATGAGGCCAAGAAGGGAACCAGGTTAGTGGTTTACAAATGGACACCTCAAAATCCTAGAGGCCCGTGGGGATGCATCAGGGAGCACCCTGGGTGTACGTGCAGGAGGGGCAGAGAAGGAGTCTGAGGGGCCAGGCTCCTAGCCTCCCCTCCTCCCGAGGAGAGAACATCACCCAGAACACCCTCCCTCTTGTCTCTCATCCACCGCAGCATCACCAGGGATGCCCTGGTCCTGTTGATGAATACTAACATCCGAAAACCATCGCTTTGGACTGCTTTCTACATTTAGGGAGGCTGTTTCCTATGATGAAAATTCTAGAAAACCTCCATCAGGCTTACCTTTTCTCCTTTTTGTCCTGGAGGTCCCTATGAAGAGACAGAAATGGCAGTTAGAAAGTGAAGCGAAGGCCACAGGGGCCCGAAACCTCCCTGCTGAGGAACATTAGGGCGAGGTACCAACCGGCTGTCCTCGGGGACCCATCAGGCCCTGCAGGGAGGAAACACACAGAGGTCAGTGGGTGCACAGAGGGCGGGCAGGATCAGAGATGCGTGGGGCGTGCTGGGAATGCACGGAGTCCTGAAGGCTGGGCTCCACCACCCATGGCCTGTGCTCCTGTGCCCAGGATGTTCTAGGTGATGTGGCCTGTACACCAAGTCTCAGTTTCTTTCTCCGTCAATGGGTGTGACTCAGGGTGCCCTGGGCCCCAGTGGGGAAGCCCAGGGGCCTTCCCTCCTCCTCCTCCTCTCCATCACCCTCTCATGGGCCAGCTGTGAAGGGGGCTGCATGTACACATCAAGTGGTGCTCTGCTGCTGTGGGCTGCCCTGCCTCACGCATGCCTATCTCCTCCCCTCACGGGGCCAAGAGGTAGAGGTCGAAAGCCTCTAGGAGACCCTGGCCCATTCTATCTTCTGCCCAGCACTGCCTCAGCAGGAAACCCACTGAGCCAGAAGGGCTTTGGGGTATGCGCAGTGGAGGGGGGTGCTGGGGGCGATGCTGCTGACACATGGGGCCTTTGGAGAAACCTTTGGTGAAGAGAGGGAGCAGGGAGTTGGTGACCTAAGCCATGTTCAGGGCCCCTGAGAGGAACACAAGGGGCTTTGGGGCGCCCTCTGGGGTGTCTTGTCAAGTTTGTAGGGCTGAGAAAGAAGCCTGGGGTCAGGGTGGACCCTAGTCCTTTGAGGAGGACACAGGGTTCAGCTGGCTGTCTCAGGAGCTGACCCGAGGCTGGTGTGGAGGAAGAGGGGATACTTTGAGGACGCGCTCCGAGGCAGGCTTTCAGTATGAGCCGAACCCACACCCGCACTGGCCCATGGAGAAGACGCTCGCGTCAGCTCTGCTTCCCAGACGAGGTGATGGAGACAAGGCCCTGCAGCCCAGTGAGCGGTGGCGCTGGGACGAGAGTCCAGGTTTGCTGACTGCAAAGGCCCAGCTGTTTCCTCTCAGCCACACTCTCTGAACTGGGCCCCTGAAGGCAGGGCTTCTAGACTTGGCCGGAGCCACGGGCAGTGCTCTGTCCCTGGGGCCCTGAGGTCCCTTCCAGCCACCATCCTGGGCTCCTGTGAGGATCCATCTGCTGCACGAGCCTCTCTGGGGTTGAAAGAACTCAGGATCTCCTGGGAAGGGCCCATGTGGGTGGGAGAAGAGCCTCTCTTGTCCCTGACTTGTCAATGGGACCAACCAACAACCTGGGAAATTCTCATGATGGGAGGGGACAACTGGCCTTTGGGACAATCCATGGGGCATCGCAGCCCATGTGGCTGACCATGTGTTCAGCGTAAGGCCAGCAGAGTGTGATGCATGGCAGGGAAGCAGCCTGCAGGTGACCGGCCACCCCCTCTCATGATGAACAGAGGCATATGATGAGGAGGGGAGGGCCCCCGGCTGAAGAAAGCCATACAAAGGTTTGGGGCTGCAGGGACTTGCAGGATGCAATCCAGATGTCCCAGATGGTGGCCTGTGTCACAACAGTGGTCCCCAGAGGTATTATTGTATTGCTGCCACACAGTTTTATTTCAATGAATTGCCAACATTTAAGAGCAAGGAGAGTATGACACGAGTCTGGATTTCAAGTTTCTCTTAAATATTTCAAGGCCCAACCACACATGGCACCAATTAGCTCTTGCTGAATAGCGGCTGCCCCTTTAAGATAGGGCACGGGTGATGCACTAGGGTGCTTGTCCTGCCTCCCATCTGCTGGGCACTGTTGTGAGCACTTGGTGTGAATGAACTCCTCCCACCCTTAGGGCAGCCCTGAGCAGTGGGAGAAGATGTGCATTCAGGGTCCCGGCTCTCCTTGATGGCACTTGTGGGATCCCCAATCCTGTCCACACCTTTCCTTAGGTTCTGGGGGCTCCTATGGGGTGGGTGGGCTGGGGGTGATCCCCTTTGGAAGTGAGGACAGAGGGTAAGCATGTGAGAGTGAGCCCCAGCCCCCCATGTTGGATGCCTAGCAGAGGGGGAGCCATCTGGGGATGGAGGTGAGTGGGAGAAAGACAGATGATAAGCAGGCCAAGATAATTACACTAGACAGTGTGTTGAATTAATAGCGCAGGGTCCCTGTGCCAAGCCAAACAGAAGCCTAATGGTTCCGTGGCCTGTCAGATTTTGACGGATGACTGAGAGGCAGACAGAGGATCCATCACACTGATGTGGGCTCATGGGACAAGGGATGGCCTCTCCCTTTCCCCCCCCGGGTTAGCTCCGGACAGGGGGACACATGGGTTGTTCAGTGGGGTGGGGCAGACAGATGGCAGAGGAGGAGCCCCGTAGAAGCGTTCCTCTCCTTCAGGACAACGGGCTCTGCAGCAGAAAGGAGGTGTGGTGCGATCCCACCACATGGGGCTCAATCCCAGCTCCGTCATTTAGAAGCTGGGTAGCCTTGGGCAACATACTCAGCCACTCTGTGCCTCCATCTCCCCTTTCGTCGAGTGCGGATAATAAGCTGCTGCGAGGATTACACAACAGTGCCCAGTTGACTGTTACTATTACTTCTGGGTTGCCACGGACTGTGTTATGGCAGGGTCAGGCCACTAGGAAGGGGAAGAAGGTGGCAGGGAGGGGTTGAGGGAACAAGGGCCCCAAACTCCTGGCATCTAAACCCCTGTGCCTCTAGAACAATGGCAGCATGGAAGTGTTCCTGTCTTAGTCTCCACCGCTTCATGCATGTGCACAGCCATGCTGGGAACAGGGGAGGGGCAGCAGGACATCACCTGCAGTGGGGGTGGCTGTGACGGGCAGGAAAGCTGACTGGGCACCTGGATTCCAAAGCCAGCTCTTCTGCCCACGGCCTCCAGAACCCCACTACCCTTTTCCCAGTTCTGTGGATGTTTTCAGCACTTGCCTGCCCCAGGGCCTTTGCACATGCTGCTCTCCCATGTCCAGAATGCTCCTTCCCATTCCTTTTTCTCTTTGTGAAACCCTCATCCCTCGGGCCCCAGTTGAAGCCTTTGTTAGAAAGCCTCTCTGACCCTCAGCCTGGGTGAGGTGCTGTTACACGGAGGTTTCTCAGGCTAACCGGCACAGCACTGATTGCCAAGGCGCTTTGTTAATTATGTGAGTGGTTATTTAAATACCTGCTCCCCCAGTAGACGGTGAGCTACAGGACGGCAAGGACAGTGTCTTTCTGACTCCTGTCTCTACCCCTGGCACCTGGCTCAGTGCCCAGCATAGCGCAGATACTCCCTAAGAATGTGTTAAGGGGAAGGCAGGAGGCAGGGAGATAGGGCAGGAGAGAGGGGAAAGAAGGAGGGAGAAAGGCAATGAAATGTGGAGGGAAGGACCTAGAGAATTGGGTTCGGATTCTGTTTCTGATGCTCTCTAGCTGTGTGACTCAGGCAAGTTACTTAGACTCTCTGAACTTTCGTTTCTGCAGCTGTCAAGGGGCTACTACTAGTAGGACCTGGGGCCCAGGCTTAGGCTGAGCATAGAGGAGGTTAGACATGCATAGTGCCCAGCCCCGTGCCCACCACATAGAAAATCCTCAATTATGTTAGCTGGGCCTGAGTCGATGGGACAGGTGGAAGCCCAGAAGGAGCTGAGCTGCCAAGGGTCCCACACAATTTTGGGGGAGCTAGGGTGAAGGCTGGGGCTCCCTTCCCATCCACAAAGTTGGCCACCTCTTTCGGCGGGCAGGGTTCTGGCCTCCTGCGCTGTGGCTGTGCCCCACTTGTGAGTGGAGAGTGTCCTCATGCCTGCCCTTAGAGCGGGACAGGCACTGAGCCGGGCTGGACGGGGAGCCGGGGAGCCTGCCATGCCAGTCTCATCGCCCTGCACATTCCAGACCCTTCTGCAGGTGGTGGGTCCTCACACTGTAGAGGTGACCACCCTGGAAGGCAGCCCGGGGAGCTGGCCCATCTACTCTTAATGGCCCATCTGTCCCCGTCCCTGGAGAACTGGCCCCCTCCCCTGCAGTGGGTGGCCCCTGACAAGGGGAGGCTTTCCCTTCTGGAAGGAGTGGCCTGGAGGAATTGTAGGGACAGGAAATTCCATTAAAAGGCTTTGCAGAGGTGGAAAGGGTTAGGGGGAAGGTGGGGGCAACCATCCCCTTCTCCAAGTCTGCTTGATGCCCAGCTGGGACAGGAGTGCCTGGAGCCCTGGGGCCGCCCAGAGCAGGCTGCGGGTGTAGAGAAAGTGCTCAATGGGCTCCTCACACCCCCAGTGCGAGGACGGGGGACCGAATGTAAACTCAACCCCAAGGCAGAGGCAGAGACCTGTGGCAGTTTGGGAGCACCAGCCTCTTCCTCTGTGGGGCACTGGTGGTACTGAACTCTCCCTGGACCTCCTTTTGCTCATTTTTCAGGTGGAAAAGCCCCCTGCCCACCTCTCCTCCCTGTGTTGATGTGAGGACGCTAGGGAGTGACCATGGGGGCAGCCATAGGACTGTCCCTGTGGGTCCCCTGTGCCGGGTGGTGCTTGGCTGTGGCCCCTGTGGGCCAGGCCGACCTCTCCACCCCTCAAGGGAAGGCAGGAAAGCTGGAGTCTTACCATCTCCCCTTTGGGTCCGGGGTAGCCCTGGAAGGAGAAGAGCGTGAGAGCCAGGTAGGCTGCAGCCCAGAAGCCCCTGCCTGCCCCCTCCCTCACCCACCACTCATTGTGCACACATCTTTCCTCCTCCCCAGTTCTCTGGCTCCCAGTCCTGGGCCCGTTGGCTCAGGTGGGGCATCTGCTTGTTGCCATTTGCTGGGTCTTACTAGCAGCTGCCAGCCCCTGCAGAGCCCCTGCCCCAGGCACACACCCGGGGGAGGTGGAGGGATGCCAGGGCCTGGGAGCTGAGTGCAAATGGCCTCCAGACCCCTCGTGGTGCTTAGCTCTGGTCTGCAGTGGGGGACGGACCAGATGGGTGACCAGGCCCTCATCTGGAGGATGCCAGCTGCTCTGGGGGACAAGTGAGTGCATAGAGCTGGGCTTGGCACCCCCTGCCTTCCCTTGTAATCTCTGAGGGCATCAGAGGGGTCGAGCTCTCCCCAGCTCACTCTTTCCTAGGAGTGGGCAGGGGTCTCCTTTCCCCCATGAACATTGGGGTCTAGGGTCCAAGTCCAAAGGATTAAAATGGACAGAGACAGGAGCTGTGGATGGGGACCCAGACTCCATGTGGACTTGGTGTACATGGGTCCCAACAGGGATGGGAGACCCGAGGAGACAGGGAGGGGCAGGTGACGCCTGGTGGTGCTAGGGGGCAGGTGTGAGCGGGTGCCCAGGGTCCAGTTAGAGCCAGCAGCCTGAGCCCTCCACCCCTCTTCCCTCCAGGCTGCGTCCTTGCCTCACTCCCTAGCATAGCCCCTTCCAAGGGCACCTCAGAAACACCAGCTTCTAGGGGTGGCTCTTGCCCAGGATGTTGAGAGCCCACCTTGACGGTCATGGACTTGTGCCCAGGGGAGGCCCACTGGGGTCGGGGGCCCTTCCCGCCTCCCACTGGTGACAATATCCCACCCCAGGAACTTGTCATTCCATCTGGAGCTTCTCTCATGGAGTCTTGCAGAGGGCTAAGGACCCAGGGTTAGTGACCTGGGTTAAGTCAGGGAGAAGAGCTTACAGCCCCAGAGGGTCCACTCACCGGTTTGCCGTCTAGCCCAATGGGACCCTGAAAGAGGAAAGAAGCCACATTAAAGACAGCATCACAGGTGTCCTGCCGAAGAGGCAGCCTGGGCAGTGGTCAAGGACACAGGCTCTGGACTCCCAAGTAAGAGTTCAAGTGTCTGCTTGACCACTTACTGGTTATGTGACCATGGGTAAACTTAGGCCTCAATTTCTTATCCTAAAATGGGGAAAATAGACTCTTCCATGAAGGGGGAGTGTCTTTGTGAGGAGTGAACAAAATGCCACCTGTCCAGTCACTGTGGCAATCACAGACCTCCTCCTCATTCCAAGTGGCAAGTGAGCTGGATGTTTCTAGAAAGCCTGGGGCTGGCCAGCACCAGGGCCTGCAGAAAAGGAGAGCTAGCCGCTCCCCTGCCTTCCCTCTCAGAGCCGGTCTTAGATCCCTGGGGCAGGGGTCACAGGACATCCAGGTGGCCTCCTCACTGCCTCCTGCAGGTGGATCTCTCCAGACCAGCTTGGGGGTTGCTTCCCGGAGGTGCATCATCTCTTTCATGTTCCAGTGTCCTGCTGGGTTTACCTAGCCTGTGACTTAGCTCACTTGTCCCCGTCCTACTGTCTCTTCATTTCCCTAAGGGTTTCCCTGTCCTCTCTTGCACTCTGGGCCAAGTGCCAGCTACTCTCAGTTGCTCTCTGTGAGAGGCTGCAGGAAAGGGTCCTTACTGACCCGAGTTTGGAAGGTCAAGAGCAGTTCGAAGGCTGGCCCCACATGAAGTTTAACTCAGTCAGGCCCAGGGGTCACCAGGGACACAGCTAACCTCAGCCCTCCCGACTTACCGGAAATCCAGGAAAACCTCGAGTGCCCGGCTGACCCTGGAAAGAGCGGGAGAAGAGTGAGGATGGGTGAAGAGGGGATGAAGCGAATCTGAGTCCCCAGGTTCGCCTCTGCCCCCAGCGGGCAGGTGGTTTCCGTCCCCCTCTCCTGGGGTCCTCCATGGGAGATACTCCGCACGGCGAGCTGGCTGGCAGGGAGGATGGAGAAGGATGGACACGAACACCAGGGAAACGTCCTCCAGGGGCTGGGGGTTGGGGGGGAGAAAGGGAGGAGGGGCCCAGCATCCTTCAGGTCTTCCTGGGAAGTAGCCCCAAGAGCTCCTGCCTGCCTTCCTGCCCTGAACCCCACGTGTGAACAGGTGGCTGGACAGCAGGACAGCGGGGACTGGCCTGCTGCACCCTGAGCTCCTGGGCTGCGATCTCCTGAGTCCTTTATATTGACGCAGAAGCCGACCTGCACAGTGTGCGTTCGCAGGCCACACGGGTCAGATGGCTTGTTTTTCTCTCACCCTGGCCAGCGGGCCCCTTGGGTTGGACAATCTCTGTGCCCACTCACACCCGTTCTCCTGCAGGTGCAGAGTGCCACGCAAGTAGGAGTTTAGGCTGGAGGCTAGACGCCGCTGGTCACAGCCCGGTGGCCTCTGCTCTAGCCTTGGGACAACAGAGATGTGCTGAGACGTCAGAAGAAGGGTGGGGCTGTGGGGACCCAGGGCTGGCAGGGCTGAGCGGAAGGTCAGGCTGGTGGTCCCCTCGCCTCATGGGTCATTCACCGTGTAAGCCCTGATCCCGCCGCATCTCCCCCATGCCTTGCTCGTGCACATGGCTCCCCTGCTTTCCCTGGACACACACCCCATCTTCCCCACGGTCAGCCCTCAGCTTGGAGTCTGGCTTTGACGGAGACGGTCACAACGTCCTCCCAAGCTTGGGCCTCCGAGTCTGGCAGGCGGAGCTGCAGTCCCACCTCCTGCAGCCGTGGCTGGGGGCTAAGTCCTTAGGCTTCCCTCTACTGATCCCTACGGAATGGGGACAACAGCGTACTCTCACAGGGTCATTCCATCGCATCCGATTGTACTTGTAAAGGCTCCCTCAGTGGCAGCTGTCACCATCGAACCTATGGACGACTGTCCCTGCCCATCCGGAGGGGTCTTCCTTGAGGCCCAAGCAGGCAGTGTCCCAAAGCCTCTGCTCAGGGGACATGGCTGAGTGGGCCGGGGACTCTGCCATCCGGGTGGGGGGATCGAAGTGGGGAGCGAGCTGCGGTGGCCCACGGGGTCGGGATGGGCTTGTGGCAGCAGCCCAGGGGCAGGAGGGAGGAGATGCCACTCACATGTCAGAGGGCCCCGGGCTTCGCTCCTCTCAAAGGTAAGTGATGCTAAGAATAGCAGTAAGGAGAAAACCCTGAAACCGTAGGATGTGGCCTCTGGAACCTCGCAGTGTAAACTTCCAACTACTCTGCCGAGAGGCCTGAGGAAAAAGGTCAGCAGGAGAGGATTCCAAGAAACTTCTTCAAGTCCCACTCCGGATAATGTTTACACAGTAGGGATAATCACATGGTTTACTAATTACAGAGCCTGCCCGGGAGCAGAATGCATCTCCCCGGCTCAGAGCCAAATCCAGAGCCAACCAGGGCTTTTTCGGGATCTTGGGAAGAATGTTGTCATTGACCGAGTGGAAACTGGGACTCGGCTTCCTGGAGATGCTGGGCTGCGGAAGGCACTCTCGGAGGCCTGGAACTGGATTTTAATTTACATCTCTTCAATCACAGCTGAAGCTGGACATCTCTGCCAGTGTTTATGGGCCGGTCATTTACTTGCGAACCGCCTGTTTGTGTTCCTTACCAACACTCTGCCCTCGCTTGTTTGTCTCCCACTAACCTGAGGACAGAGCTCTTTGTCCAGGATGGTAACTCTTTGAGTCGCGTGTGGCACCAATATTCCTTCCACTTTGGCATTTGTCTTTTTCATGCTGTATTTCCTGCCTGATGGAAGTTTTACGTTTATGTTGACAGACTTATTGATCTTTTCCTAAGGCTCCTGGGTCTTATGCCATGTTTCCGAGGGCCTTCCCTATTGCGGACTTCATAAATGTTTGCTCATGCTTTGTCCTCATATTTTATGGTTTCATGTTTTACATCCATTTGATATTTATTCTGATATAACAAGTGAGGCACAGATGCAGCTTTTTTTTTCTTTTTTTTTGGCTTTACCTTTTGGTGAATGGCTTGTCCCCTATCCCAGCATCATCTTCTAAACAATCTATTTTTTTCTTCCTCCTGTGAAACAAAACTTTGCCATGGACTAACTTCCCAGATGAGTTTGGTTTTATATCTGGCCTCCTCGTTCTGTTCCATAGAACTGCTCTGTTTTTATAATACATTTGATATCTAGTAGAACAATTGGTCCTGTCCTCCCCTATTCCCCTTGCTCTATTTTTGAGAATTTTCCTGACATCCTTATGAAAGCTTACTTTTTTTCCCAAATGAAATGAATATTATTCAGTTGGACTCCCCATCTGCCCATTCCAAGTCAATGCTGGGATAAATGGGAAAAAATGAAGAAACATTCAACAGATATATCCCATTCCCCTGGCCTCCCATTCCAAGTCAATGCTGACTATCTTTCAAACAAGACCCCATGCCGGTCAGTGTTTAATCGCCAACTGAGGTGACAGCGAGAGGGAGAGAAGAGTCTTGATTTGTACAGCATTTGCCAGTCTCTGGGGTGTAAATATACCTCCCACCCTGGCTGATTTTAAGCTACCAACATGATGCCACCGAACACAGAGTTGGTAGGGGGTGTTCTTGTGAGCTGAGTGAGCCAGCTCCAGCTCTGACCTCCAGCAGCAAATGCGATGTCCCTTTGGACATTACAAGGACATCCAATTCATCATGTTCCAGCTAGACTCATGTTCCCCAGCAAAATCTGCTCCCCTCTCTGGAGAAGGGCAGTTAACTGGCCAATTCCACCTACAAGAGGTCCTACCAGCCCAGCCCTTGCTAAATGCATGTGCCTACCAGCCAGTCCCTGACCTGCAGCCGCTTCTAAACATGCTTCACGCCCGAGCAGGGAGGGGCAGGAGATCTTTTTAAACTGCAAATCTGCGGGATGCCTGAGTGGCTCAGTGGTTGAACATCTGCCTTTGGCTCAGGTCATGATCCCGCGGTCCTGGGATTGAGTCCTGCACTGGGCTCCCTGCCTGGAGCCTGCTTCTCCCTCTGCCTATGTCTCTATCTCTCCCTGTGTGTCTCTCATGAATAAATAAATAAAATCTTAAAAAAAAAATAAACTACAAATCTGATCATGTCCATCCTCAGCTGAACACAAGCCAAGTGTTCTCCCCTGCCCTCAGGATAAAGTCCCGACTCCTGAAGATCCTGTCCAAGTACTTCCCAACTGGGCCCTTGCTCACCTCGTTGGCCTCACCCGGTAACTTATAAGGAACTCTCTTACCTCAGGGTCTCCTTCCTCGCCTTCTAACTGGGCACTTCTACTCATTCTTGATCACAGTTTAGTTATCCCGCCTTCCTGGAAGCCTTCTCTGTCACCTCCACTCCAACTCGGGTGCCTCTTCCCTGTCTGCCCAGATCCCTAACCATCACGGCTGAGCATGGTCTATATTATAATCACTATGGTATTGCTCGTCTCTCTGCACAGGGACAAGCAGGCTGTGGTCCGATTTTCATTGTCTACTCAGCACCTAGCCTCCAGTTTGTGCCTAAAAAATATTAATGGGATGAAAAAATCAAGAAACATTCAACAGATATATCAACCCAGCATGGAGCACCTCCTTGTGAATGAGGGCTGGAAGTTCAGATGGCTCCTCCCAGACCCTGAAGACAAGCTGGGGGGCTCAGGGAGGGAGTGAGCTCCCCTTGAGATGGGGGGTGTTTCCTAGCTTGGAAGATGACCTGCCCAGTGTCTGCTGGGCCAGCCAGTGTCCCGGCCTCCCCTTGCTTTAATGGGGCACACCACTCTAGCATCTTGCCTCATTGGAATGTGAACTATCCTTTTCCAAAGTTCCTGGCTGGTTCCCCTGGGCTCAGATTATTTCGGAAGAAGCTCCAAGAGAGGAGGCAGGTGGCCCCTGAGAGTGGCAAGGCTGGTTCTTATTAGGAGCATTTCTTCTTTTTTTTTTTTTAATTTTGATTTTTTAAAATTTAAATTCAATTGGCCAACATATAGTACATCATTAATTTCAGATGTAGTTTTCAATAATTCATTAGTTGCAAATAACACCCATTGCATTTATTCTGAGCCCCTTCTGGCTGAATGGAAAGCCACATGTTCCCTATAATCCTTGGCCACAGAGGGCTTGCCCACTTGACCTCTCCCCCTTAGTGATAGACGTCCCCTTTGTCTTCCCCTCACCCTCTGTTCTCACCAGCTCTGGGTGGCTTCCTGGGAGGAGTTGAGGTGGTCTCCCTGGTCTTTCGTGAGGACTCAGCAGGGACGCCCCAGTCACCTGGGTGATGGTCACCCACAAAGGCCAAAGTAGAAGCAGGCTGGGCTTAACCCAGTCCTATACACTTCTCCTAACACCAAGTCTGTACCCACATGGAGAACTGTTTCTTCTCCTGAAGGTAAATATCTCTTTTAAACAATAGAGCTTGAAACCTGGAAGGAAGGGTTGCAGCAAGAATGCTGGCTTTGGAATGAGACGGACCTGGCCCAACCCCAACTCCAGCATTGGCTAGCTGAGTGACCGACCTCAGGTGAGTTATGAAACTCTCGTCGCCTTCTCTAGGAGATGGGTTGGCGGGCCTGCCCCACAGCTTTGTTGGGAGGGCTGATGGAGGCCCGGCACAGGTGGGCTCTCAGCGCAGGACGGGTGCCCAGGGGATGGAATTTATCACCAGTATCTATCTAAACAGAAGGTACTTTTCACCACTAGAGTCAAACCCAGTGGAGGGGCTATGGTTCCTGATTGGGCACACTGGGCTGGAGCCAAGGGCACTGAGGCAGACCGCTGCCTCTGAGTATGTTCTCCACAGGGGGCCTTTCCAACAACTCTTAGGTAGCTCATTGGCATCGTACCACCGAGAGGGTGTTGGAGGACCAGCGTGAGCCACACAATGGAATCTGGGGTCAGCCTGGGCGGCAATCAGAGGCGGTGGCCACAGGGTAGGGTCTGTGTTCTGCTGCTCTTCTGTTTACCCAACAGGCCTGCCCTGGCTTTTAGAACCTGGGGACTGGCTCTCTCTGTGACCTTCTCTGAGACCTTCTCTGAGACCTGCTCCTCTCCAGCGGCCCCCTGGCTGAGTACCACCGTTATCCGGAATGGCTGGGCTTGGGGCATCCACGGGGTGGCTCCTCTAACACACACACAAGCTATAGCCCGTCGGTGCAGTGGCCACATGGGCTCAGAAACACAGATGCTGGTAAGCAAGCGGCCTGGGGGTCTGCTATGGCAGTGAGGGTCCAAGGGGCAGACTCTGAGCCACACGGCTTGGCTGAATCACTGAATCCCAGCGTGGCCACACTCTAGTGAAGGATCCTGGGCAAGTCACTCAGCCTCTCTGTGCCGGGCTTTTCTCATCCATGAAACAGAGGTGCTGATCGTGCCTACCGGTGGGATTGGTGTGAGGATTCGGTGAGTTGCAGTGTGTAATGGTCTTAGGATGCTGCCTGCCAGATTCACTGCCAAGGGTGACCCTAATCAGAGGAAATCTTGCCCAGGAGGCTGGATCTCTGCAGCCCACAGCCCTTCCAAGCCTGCCTCCAGCCTTTGCCCTTGACCTGTCTGCCAGCCCTGCTCCCCAGCCCCTAGCCCTGCCCTTTGGCTCCTCGCTTTGACCTGCCCTCCACCTCCAAGCAGCCCTGAAGGGTTGACCCTCCGCCCCTTGCTCTCAGCACAGTCCCTCTTTTGGGTGTGACTTAGCAATGTGCTCTCTGACCCCTATCCCTAGACTAGGGGTAGGAGATGCTCCTGCTTCCTACTGGCTCCCTCTGGTGAAGGCAGGGGAATGGGCAGGCTGAACTCCACACTTCCGTTGGGCTAGCCTCACACTCCCAGAGGGTAGCTGTCTGCTTCCCTCACCCTCTCACTGTGTAGGGCAGGAAAAGTACACAGCAGAGCATGGTGATGATAGCCTGATCTATGGTGGAAGCTCTGGATGTCAAGCATTTAGGTTCTAGTCCTGCCCCAGTCTCTGTGTGTGGGCCTCTGGCCCCTCTCTGGGCCTCAGTTTCCCCTTCTGAGGGGGCTGTGCTAGACCATCACTGAGGTCCTTTCTACCTGACATTTGGTGATTGTACCGAAGCCCTGTGGTTTGGGCTCTTCCCATAGTCACGATATCTTCCCACATCATCACCTATGTTCCCTTTTGGTCCCTAAGGAAACCTATCTGAGGGGGAAGCCTCTGATTTCTGGGCCACTGGATAGAGGCTACTAAGAATCAGGACCCAGCAGTGTACATAGGAAGGAGACTTTGAGGACGAGTGGTGGGTCGGGCCTCTGCTGACACCAGGAGTGGGTCCTTGGGGCAACGGATCTGGATGCTGGGTATCTGCTCCAGGGGCTTCTGGAAGCAAGACTTGTCCCCTGGAAAGCTGGAGCACGCCATCTGGGGAGGAACAAGTGCTTTCTCCCCTGCCTGTAAACAGCAAGGCCACCTCATAGCTGCTGGTTTCCTGGCCAAAGGGTGGCCCTCGCGAACCCTCCTGAGAGGGTGTAATTTAGGTCTATTTAGGCAGGCCTGGCCTGGCTGACCACATCACAGGCGGTGGCCACCAGGCCCAGAGGCACAGCCAGGACTTGCCCCTCCACCCGAGCCCTTGTCATTAACTGGCCCATCCCCCACCCTGAAGAAGAGAAAAACCACTTACAGGGGGGCCGCGGGGGCCGATGATGGACATGCCGGCATCTCCTGGGGCCCCCTGTGGGAGAGAGAGAGACAGGAGAGGGAGAGGGAGAGGGAGAGGGGTAGGGATGGGAGGGGAGAGGAAGGAGCTGGCAGGTGGGGAAGGGGAGCAGGGTGGGTGGGGTACCCAGCCAGAGGCAAGGTGGACAGGGGGGCAGAGGGTATAGAGGGAGGTGGGAGGATCAGAGGAGAGGAGGCACAGGGTGTATGGAGCATCCGGGAGGGAGAGAGAAGGGCAGCAGGAGGCAGGAGGAATGAAGAGGGAAGAGCAGTGAGCGGTAGCATAAGATGCGGGACCAGGGACAGAGGGAGGTGAGACCCCAGGCAGAGGAGGGAGGAAGGGGTGCAGCGCAGGGATGAGCAACAGGTAGCACAGGGAGGGGGAGGCACGCAGCTCAGCCACACCACTTGGGCCTCAGAGGCCTCCTCCTTGCCCTGCCCAGCGCCCTCCAACCTGCCCCCGCCCCACCCAAGCTCAGAGCCCCTGAGGCCTTTGTCTCCACCCCAGGCCCCAAATGCCCGTGTGGCGCACACCAGGCAACAGGTGAACCCGGCTGCCCCGTGGATGGCGTTGCTCAGAACAGAGGTGGGGGCAAGACACACACTTTCAGCCCCGAGAGGATGGCGGCCACTGCTGTGCTGGGAGCTCCCAGTGCCATCCGAGGGTGGCCGAGCTGCTCAGATATCTACACCGTGTGCAGGCATGCATGTGGGTGCTGGGGGCAGGAGGGGCGACACAAAGATGAAGGTGTATGGGATGCAGATGGGGGTCGGAGATGATGCTCTGGCGGAAGGACCTGGACCCGGCCCTGCTGGGAGGAGGGCTGGATGCTGCTTCCCACCAGGAATCCCCCCTCCTGGCAGAGGAAACGCCCGGGGGCCTCACTCCCAGGTCTCCCAGGCAAGTCCCAGACCCTCTCCCAGCCCCCAGCCATCCTCTGTGAACTGGATGCTGAGGGTTGCTCTGCTACCTTTGGAAGCAAAGGACCTAAATGCATTTGTGACTGTCATGCCTCACACGTAGGTGAGCAGTGATCTCGAATTTGTAACTGTCTGTACCACAGCAATGATACAGCAATTGTTACACAAGGCAGGATACTGTAATGAAGCCTAGCTCTGCTCCCTCCCGCTATGTCACCTTGGGCTACTTAACCTCCTTCTGCCTCAGTTTCCGTATCTGTGCGAGGGATAATAGCACCTGTCTCATAGGATGGCTGTGCAAGTTTCATGAGATAATGTTGTAAAGTGCTTAAGACTGTGCCTGGCACATGATGGGGCCAGCAAATGTTTGCAATTATCCCTTTGCAAGATTGATCGATCATGTCCCTCGTCTTTCTCCCAGGCAGCCTGGAGCCCCAGGAGGGGACCCTCTGGGGTGGGACCGAGCGACAGCCTTTGTCCCATTTGGAGGACAGCAGAGCGCAATGGTGGGGAACCCCAGCCTTGGAGTCAGACACGCTGGGGCTCTTCTCTGGCTCTGTCACTTGCTGCTGTGTGACCCTGGATCTGTGAAGCTGCCTCTCTGTGCTTCAGTTCTCCCTCATGTGAGGAAGAATATCAAAGCCTCCGTAGACAGGCTGTATCTGTGTTAGTTGGGAGAACAGAGGCAAAACCTCTGCCCCTGGCAGTTTGTGCTTAGTACATCATAGTGCTAGTGTTTCACCGCCACTGTCATTATTTGGGAGATAGGGAGACGCTCAAGAAACACGCACTGCCACGTACAGGCAAGGAAGTACCGAGCTGAGCATCAGGAGGCCTGGCTTCCAGCCCCTGCTTGCCGTCATTATTGTTGTGGGAGGTCCAGCAAGCCCCACCTCCTCTCTTGGCCTCAGTTTCCTTCTCTGTAAAGTGAACTGGTTAGACCCACGCAGCAGGGAAGCTGGGGCCTTGGCCAGGAGTCAGGGGCCTGGACGCTGGGCCAGGAGAGCCTGTGAGGGCAGAGTGCTGGGGCCTGCCGGCTGGGGGAAGGCTGAAATGGGGGCCTCTGAAAGCACCCCCAAGAGTCCAAGGGGAAGACACTGGGGCCGAAGGGTGGTGGGCAGAGTGAGGACTCACCTTCTCGCCTGGTTGGCCCTTTACTCCCTGGGGCAGCCACATGCAACACAGAGTGTAGAGGAGAGAGGGGGAGAGAAAAAAGAAAGGGTAAGAGAGAGGCACATACACAGGAGTCTGTGCTCATGGCACAGTGACCAAACGAAGAAATCACCGTGAGATAAGAAACAGAACAAAACACAACATAGGTGTTGACACGTGACAGGTCCCATGTCCGACAAGCACAGTGCACGGTGGCTGTTGCCTCTCTCTGGGGCCTGGCCCCAGCCACCAGCTGTCCCAGATAACAGAGAGAAACAGTGGCAGGAGCCTTAAGAGACCCTCTCAAAGTGTGTGTGTGTGTGTGTGTGTGTGTGTGTGTGTGTGTGTGAGAGAGAGAGAGAGAGAGAGAGAGAGAGAGACCCACCCAGGTCAGAAAATCTTCCTGAGAAGCCATGTCCCCAGCTGACTGGGTCACTTGAGGTGTTGGGGGTGGTGAGGGTAAGGGGCACTTGCCCAAGGACTGTGCTGTGAGGTGGAGCTTAGTTGGTTTGAAGGTCCAGCTGAGAGCCAAGCACAAAGTTTTGCCGAGCTACACACGCCGGGAGACATCGGGGTGGGCCAGGCAAGGTGGTAGGGGAGGGAAGACAGGAATACGGGATGGACAGTAGGACACAGATATTTGGGAGGATGGAGGATGGGGGGGATGGGTCTGGGGTGCAATCAGCAGACAGACAGCTCCAATCTCCCCGAATCCACTGAAATCAGTGGGGCCAACTCTGCTGAACCACAGGAGCAATTCATGCATTTCACACCCATTGACCACCCTAGGCCTTATCAGAAGGCTCAGGCCAGGACTCCTGCTGGGCAGCCAAATGGGTCCATTGTCACATTTAAAATAGCACAAGCAGCGTGAAAACCCCCAAGTGGCTTGAAAACAGCCTTGTGTCAAAAAAAGGGGGACCTCCTGTGCTCCCACCCCGTGCCCCCACCGCTGAGGGTGAGAACTCAGCTCAGATGGACACTTCCCAAAGACCCACGTCCACAAGAGCCCAAGAAGGAGGGCAGGAGGGGGCAGGCCTTTGCATTTTGCAGCCGTCCCTGTGGGCTGGCAGCGACACTCAGGGTGGAGTGTCCCGGAGCCTACTTGCTAGGAACCAGGACCTTGGCCTCTGACAGTCAGCTTGGGTACAATGCCCAGCTCCACAACCCCCCCCCCCCCCATCCCAGGCCGACTGAGTCTCAACATGCTCATCAGTAGGACAAGTTTCTGGAAGGCTACAGTGGAGAACGTGCCCGGCCCAGGCCGCCACATGGCGAGCCCCTGAGAAGGGCTGGCTGGCTGCTTTCTCTCTGTTCCACATGGGAAGGGACCAGGGATGGCTTGGGAGACCCGGGGTTTGGAATTAGAGACCTGAAGCTGAGGGACAGGGTCACTTAGCATCTGAGCCTCAGGGTTCCCATCTGAAAAATGGGGGTGGAAGCTGTGTCTGCTGCGGGCAGTTCTGGGGACCCTGAACCAGCTAATCTAATGCATGTGAGGCTCTGAGCACAACATCCAGCATGTAGTGAGCGCTCTCCAGTGTTAGCTGAGATCTGGGTGCCTTCTCTCCAAGCATGGGGCTCACCCCAGGCAAGCAAACCCACGCCAGGTTTAAGGCCAACCCATGAGGAGGTGAGGTCAAGAGGCAAGGCATGTGAGTGGCATGGAAGGATGATATGGGGGGCATTCGGGCCACCCGGGAGCCAGGGTGCAGGATGAGGCTGATGGCTGGCAGGGTGTCAGGGGTAGACGGGGAGAGTAGCGTGGGCACGTCCTAGACTCACTGGGTGCTGGTGAGGCCAGCGTGTGGCCAGCACTCCATTGGGCCACCATCAGTGCCTGGGTTGCCCTTTCTAGTTCCTTGGAGGGCTAGCAGCCACCCTGGGACATGCCTGGTGCTGGGGCCCCAAGGCCGAGTGCCAGCCTCCCCATTTCTGAGCTGTACCTCCCTGTGGAACATTCTTGTTTCCCTGTCTTCATCTTAAGTTTTCAGCAGGAAACATTCAGTGTCTAACTTCCAGCCTCTTGGTGAGGATTTGGAGGCACCACCTGGGAGCCAGCCCTGTCTCCAGAAGCTTCTGGCCTCTGCCTAGGGAGGATGTCTCTGGAAGCCGGCCCCACTGCAGCTTCCATAGGGCATCTTGAGGCTGCATTTCTCACCATCTGTTGCTGCCCTTGCTGGGGGTGGTGGTGGTGGTTGCAGAGCAGCTGGAGATCTGAGGGTGATGGGGGCGGGGGTGGGGGGGATGGAGGGGGTGGGAGTCCTCCTGACGTCAGGAGAGGCTTGGGCCTCATCCTGTCACCCGGTGGGTGATCGACAAAGAACTTTCTCAGTGCCATTTCTTGGATTTTCCCTTTGCCATGGCAGCTGTCTGGAGAGTAAAGTCATACTGCAAGATCTGAAGGACCAGAATGAAGCTTCTTCCCTCCTGTCCCTCTCTGAAGCTGACTTGGGTGGGGGGAAGAGAGAGGTCTGACCACTCCTTGGGGCTGGGGAGGTTGCCACAGTTTGGAGAACAAGTCAGCATGAAGAAGCAAGCAGTGGCCACCCAAGCAGGTGCAAATGTGCCAACTCACCACACGTCCAGGCATCCCAATGGCACCTTTGTCCCCCTGATGAAGGAGGCAGAAACAATTAGATGTGGCTGGAGTGGGGCCAGCACGTGAAGGACCCCATGGGCTGGCTACGTACCCAAGACCTGCTTTGCGTGGGCAGTCGGGACGGAGCCCAGGTGTCGTGTGGAAGAAGCTGCCCACTCAGCCCCCAAGGACTGTTAGGCAAGCAGCCACCCCGTGACGACCTGCACTCAGCGGTGCTGAGGAAAATGCACTAACGTAGGAGTCTGGTCCCCAGCCTGAGCCTCGGTTGTCCTGTGTGTTTCATAAGGGGTCCAAGGCCCTTCCCTCCTTAGACATCTGCTGTCACAGTCTAGGCCAGCTGTCGCCAGGATGTGCTGGATCCGAGGCACAGAGCCGGGGGTGTGGTGGCCCCACATGACAGGTGGGTGGTCTATGTGTGCCAGAGCCGAGGTGCAGTGCCCATGTCCCCCTGCTCCTCGCCAGGCCCTCCGTCTGAGAAGGCTACGACAGTCCTTTTCCCCGGCCCTCCTCTCGGCCACCTCCCTGCACCGACAGGAAGGATGGGAGCCATGTGGATGCGGCTGCATCATGAGGTTCGGCTGCTCAGAGGGAACCACTTTGTTTTGTAGCCAGGGGTTACATTTTCTCACTCTGGAAATCTGTTTAGTAAGTTTTGTTCCTCTTGCTTTTGGTAGAAAATATTTTTTTGCAATCATACGTGTGCAGACATCATAAAATCTGGGGTGGGGCCTGGGGTTTGCTAGGAGTCTAGAAGGACGGAAAGCAAACGGGGCCAAAAATCAGACAGCGTTTGTCCCGGCTTCCTGGGCAGGAGGGACATAGGCTTGTGGGTTCCCCTGAAGGGTGTGGGCATTTCTGGGGGGCAATTCTGTGACTGCTGACCCCACTGAAGCAACCTTGAGGGACAGTTAGCATCTCAAGATGTACGTAGATGCACGCGAGAACAGCAAGTAGCTCTGAAATTAGGTTCTTGTTACACACACAGGCCAGTGGTGTCTCTAGTTCACCCTTGCAAAAAAGTGAACGGGGGTAGCAGCGTTGATGGTAAGCCCGCATCTGTTCCTGTACCTTGCTGAGCCCCCACGTCTCTCTCAAGGGCAGCTGGGAGGATGCTACGAGAAGGTGGGCCTGGAAAGCCTTCTCCCGGGCCTTGGCACCTGGTGAGTGTTGCATAAGCCGTGTCTACAGGTAGTGAGCCCAGCACGGCCACGGGCAAGTGAATTTTACAAGCATGTTTGTACTTCACACATTTTGCACTTCACAAGGGGCTGCCAACAGCAGATCTTGAGGGTCACTCCCAGGTCCCCCCACGTAGAAGCACAAGGGGGACCAGACCATGGACCAGTGGTCTGCCCTTCCTGCTGGGGACACCAGGCCTGCCGCACACTGGCTGTGACACCCCCAACGGCCCACGCACTCTTGGGCTTTTGAATGATATTGCAGCATGTGTGTTTTGGTTTCTCTTCGGGTTCTTTTTAAAAACTAATGTTCTTTGCAGTCCTGGCCGTAAAATGCTCGGGTTAGGGACAGGCATGGAATGGCCAGAGACTGGGAACTCTGTGCAGCAGCCCTTGCTCTGTGAATTGCCCCCAAATGCTTTTTAAAGGTGGACGTTGTCAGAAAAAAAAACCAAAAAAAAAAAAAAAAAACAAAGTCTGCCCACGTTCTCCCCAGTCATCTGATTTTTCCTCTCCTTGGATTTCATGGGACCGATTTGCCTGTCCTCCTTTGCTCCGGGGCTCATACTTACTGGGAGAGTTTCCAGTTTTGATGCTAAACACCCTCCCACATGCATATCATTAAGAAAGTCACTGCTGGACATGAATTCTAGAAGCTGCTAGATTAGTCAAGAGGTTACGGTATAATTCATGTCTAAAAGAAGAGTAGCTGGGATGCCCAGAAGGGTCTGGCATCCAGTGGATGTGGCCCTGGGTGCCGGGAGGGTAGCCCGGTGCCAGTCCTGGCTCACCCTCCATACCTGGCCTCGCCCTCAGCCTGGCTACCACATCTTGCCTGACTCCCCAGCCATCCCAGGGCCCACAGTATCTAGCACTCAGTGCATCTATGCCCCAGGCTACATCCCACAGAGCCATGTCTTTGAAGACTTTAAAGACTGTTCTCAGGTGTCAAGCACGGACCACAGGAAACAGAGGTACAAAATGTGTGTGACAGCATGGGCCCCTCCATAGGTCTTAACTGAAGCTTGGACAATTGGACAAGGTATTTTACCTCTGTGGGCCTCAGTTTCCTCATCCATAAAATGGGTATGATAATAGCCATTTCACTGAGTCGTCAAACAAATCAAATATATGAAGAGCGATTAGCATAGTGCCTGGCCTAACGTAGGGTTGCAATAAGAGGCGGCTCTTAGTCTATTAGTATTACTTCTACTTTCAATCCAAAGTCTCCATGGTTACTGGACTCAGCCTCTCTAGCATCCAGAAATGGTAACTGGGCCGGGTGGTGGGGGGGACGACAAAGTTTTTGTGTCTCTTCTTACCAGATGTCATAGGACAAAGGAAGGACAGTGGTCTTAGGCTAAGCTGGTAGGTAGGAGGATAGCCAGTGAAGGTCAGTGGGCTGCCTCCCCTTCCAGCCCCCCCTTAGAGGACCTTCAGTCTAGAGGTCAGGTCCAGCCTTGGAAGGGCCTGCGTGCTGTCATCTGCCTGCCTGGGGCCCCAGAGGGGCTACCCAGGAGCTTCTGGAGGTTAGAGGTGCTAGAGCGAGGCCTTTCACCCAGACACGCCTGAAGGAAAGCAGCCACCCAACCTAGCCAGCCCTGGGGTTGAGGAGAGCAGACGAGAGAGACACAAAGGAAGGAAGAAACGAAAGCTACTTACTGGGAGGCCAGGTCTTCCAGCGGGACCCTGAAATTGAGGGAGAGAGAGAGAGAGAGATTTATGAAGGTCAAGGTATCAACACCTGAGCATTCCACACTGCCCAACTAGCTATGTGGCCTGATGTCACTTGTGCTCTAGGAGCCTCTGTTATTTTATGAATGAAAAGAAGGCAGGACCTTGATCACTAAGCTTCCTTTCAGTTTTAGCATTCACTCATTCATTTATTCATTCAGAAACGCAGTTAGTGGGGGGTCTCCTCTGTGTCAGACCCAGGGAAGGTGCAAGGAAAAGAAAGACAAGAATGTCCCCTCCCATGTCTCTGCTCCTCATAACTCAAGGATCACTAGGGCCGTGGGCCTCACCAACACCTCCCCTTCCTTGAAGCCTGTCCGTCTCAGTCAGTGCGATAGTCTGTCCACCATGCGTGCGTGCTGGCGCTGGCCTGGAAAGGGCCTAAGGGGGCTGGGTCTTCCCTGTCCTACCATGCAGAAGTCAGATGTCCACTCTGGTGAAGCACATCTGCCAGGAGATGCTTCTGCCCGACAAGCTGTGCCCTTGGAACATGGCTGTGGGGCCAGGGGAAAGGGGGCACCTCAGAAGGCCTCTTCTCCTTTCTTGGGTTGGTGAGGGAGGCAGTGGGACGTCCCTCTTCTAATGCCTCCAACCAGCTTCAGACCTCTCCACGATGAGCCAGTGCTGGGCACGAGGCAGGAACCTGGTTCCCATCATATGTGGGGCCCGGCCCTGTGTGGTTCCAGAAGCCTGTCTTCATGGACCACAGCAGTGTCTTTCAGCCCTATCCCCATTATCCCAGTACTCTTGCCAGGCACAATTCTGGGCACAGACTGAAGGCTCCGTGTGATGGATCTGAAATCCCAGTGGAAAAGGAAGGCCTTTAACAAAATGTACGTTAGTGCTGGTAACGACCATGGAGCAATGTGCAGAGCCGATGGCTCTAGAACCAAGCAAATCCCAAGAAAATCATGTCTTTTTAGGTCTGGCACTCAACTTCCAGGTGGCTCTGCTACAAGAGGGTGGCTGAGAAACTGCTCAGAAGGGGCCTTGTGGGCATCAGGGAGCACCTGGTAAAGGGGAGGAAACACCTGGAGAGAGCTTTTGGCGCAGAGATGCTGCACTGGCAGGGCTGGGGCACAGGTCCCGGGGACATGGTAACAGAGACAGCAGGAAGGATTTAGTGACAAACACGGGCTCGGAGTCAGCCTGCCTGTGCTCGTTCTCAGCTCTGTCACTTCCTCCTTGGTACCTTAACAAGCTGCTAGGCCTCCCTGTATCTCAGTTTCCTCATCTCGTAAATGGGAGAACTGTTAGAGCTGTCCCTGAGGATCCCGTGAGACAGCGTATGTGAGCCACACGGTGCGGGGGCTGGCATACAGCAAATGCCACATAAATGCTAGCTGTTAGGGTTGTTGGAGAAGAGCAGTGGCTGGAGGTGTGTGGAGCTGGCCTCGGTTTCTCCCTTCGGAGACTTTGCCAGCGGATGTGGTTTCTCTCCTTCCAGACTTCCTGCTCTTCCTGTAAAACCCAAGGCAGAACCAGGAGCGGGTCCAAGGTGCTCACTGGAAGACAAGGCCGTCTGCGGCAAGGCTGCTCGGACAAACCCAGGCAGCACCGGAATAAGTGGCCCCCTCTGTCCCTTATCCCTGAGGACTTCCCGGAGACGGTGGCGCAGAGAGCCCAGGTCGGGCCCAGGGAGGGAGTCCTTGGGGAATGTGGGGTAATGGCTCTCATGGGTACATGACCGGTCCCCGTCTCTTCACTCTGCTTGATTTTGCCTCCACGGCACTAAACTGTGAGCTCCCATGGCAGGCAGGGATTGTTTGGGTTTTGCTCATGAATGTGCCTCCTGTGCCTTGCAGAGTGCTGAGCAATTAGTGGGTTCTTAATTCCTATTTGTGCATAAATGAACCTGAGGGCGGATGCCCTGAGCCTGGGAGCTCAGCCTCCTTTCCCAGGTCCCCACAAAGACAGCTCAGGCACCAAGCATCCTCCTTAACCCAGAGCTTTTAGCACTGAGCCAATGACGCCTTCTGTCACTTCTACATTGCCTGGTCCTGATGCCACCAGGGAGTGGGGCAAGAGGTAGGGCAGCCACCTTCTCCACATCCCCGGGAAGGGAGACGCACACAGTGGGTCTGCCCCAAAGAGGGACAGAGGGACAGATTACCTACCGCTCCTGTGGACCAACCACCTACTCATCCTACCTCATCTGCACCCAGGAGGGACTTCTCTTGGGTCTCAGTACCAGGAAAAGCTGTGTTCCACTCAAGTGGCAGGGGTGCTCCTACCCTACCGCAGCCTGACTTGAACAACTCTGCTTTCCTTTTTGCTCCGACCACCAGGAAGCTCGGAGCCAAGTCAGTGGCTCATCTTGCATGGGATGTTGTAATGTCATCAGCTCTGGATCCCTCTGCTTTCCTGCCTCTGCTCTCCACTCTCCTCCACTGTTTCCATATCTAGTTTGTAAATCACCCCACAATGTATTTTAAAATAAGGTGGGTAGAAATAGATGAAATAATAAATTAATGAAAATGCACAGAATCATAATTTCCTCCTTAAAATTAAAGGCTTATCAGAATCTTTTAAATCTAGGATTTAAATGGATTAATATATTCTAACTGGAAATGTGTTCTAACACACATTTGTGTGTTTATGTATATAAATGCAGAGATATACACTCATATATGCATATAATTACATATTTATATATGTCTCACAACTCTTGGAAAAGACAGACGCTAGGGGCACCTGGTGGCTCAGCCGGTTAAACATCTACCTTTGACTCAGATTGTGATCCCAGAGGGATCCAGCCCCACATCGGGCTCCCTGCTCGGCGGAGAGTCTGCTTCTCCCTTTCTCTCTGCCTCTGCCCCTGCTCATGCTCACTTTCTCTCTCTCAAATAAAGAGCATCTTAAAAAACAACAACAACAACAACAACAGGCAGACAGTATTACTATCCCCATTTTACAGATGAGGCAACCGAGGTATAGAGAGGTAAAGCAACTTGCCCAAGCTGACACAGCTAGAAGTGGCAGGGCGGGGATTCGGACCCAGGCAGCCTGGCTCCACAGCCCGAGCTTGGAGTCACTATGCTACACTGCCTCCACGCAGACACAACAGTGCCTAACACACAGCAAGTGTGAGCTAGGATTTCAGTAAGGATCACCTTCAGCCACGGTGGCAGCTGGACATCACGTTTTCCCTTGTATTCCTCCGGAGAAAGATGCTTCCCCACCTCCCTCCGCCATCTGTTTCAGCCTTACAGTTCCCATTAAGTTTTCCTTGGGGACGCCTGAGTGGCTCAGTGGTTGAGCACCTGCCTTTGGCTCAGGGCATGATCCCGGATTCCTGGGTTCGAGTCCTACATCGGGCTCCTTGTATGGAGCCTGCTTTTCCTTCTGCCTGTGTTTCTGCCTTTCTCTCTGTGTGTCTCGAATAAATAAATAAAATCTTTTTTTTTTTTTAAAGAAGTTGTCTCTGAAATCTAAGGCAGACATGGGCCGCAGGTGCCACCGCCAATGCGCAGACTCCAATGGGTTGGTAGCCGCTGAGTAAAGCATTATGGCAAGAAGCCTCCTGATTGATTAGCAATGTCTGCCACGGGTGCAGTGGGTGGGGCAGTGGTGATTCCTGCTGCTACTTAAATCCATCCTCCGGGGCAGTGGCCATCCTGTATCCATGGGAACCTGGGTCTTCCAACTGGACGACAGAGCTACCCCAGGAGGGTTTCCTAAGAGACACTCAGAGGTGGGGACAGGCCCTGCCAGCAGCTGCCATCTCTCTATCCCTGGCCTCCCTCCGCAGCATTGTTCATTTGCAGGAAGCTGAAAGAACGGGGCTAGGAGGTGACTCCCACCCCAGCCAGCTTCCCCTTTCCTCCCTGTGGTTAACCAGGGTAAGGTGAGAGTGCAGGACACACACGGAGGCTGTGTCGGGGAGCCACCTGGGCTCTCCCCCTTACGCTGGGCTCAGGTGGTATCCAGGTGGGCAGGGACACCGAGGGAGACCCATATCCATCCCCCTCACTCGCTCCTGCACTGCACAGCCCCCAGAGGCAGCAGCACCTTCTCTGGCTGGGAACCCCCTGGGAGTGAGGCTGGTGGAGGCTCTCAGAAGGCTACATTCTGGGGGTGGGGGGCAGGCCCTGGTCAGGCGGGACCGGAGCAGGTTGGCCCAGCAGCCTGGCCGTGGGGGGGCCCGGCGTATGGGGGAGATCCCAGGCGTGGGAGGAAGTGAGGAGGGCTCTTTTTGGCTTTGTCAGGAAAGAAGGGGAAAAGCAGCCCATTTCCAGCAGGTGGTCTGTTGAAGTCTCTCTTATGGCGGAGTTTATTTTGGAAGATTGATGACAGGAATTGAGATCTGACATCTAAAACATGCCACGATAAATCATCCCCCTGCTTTCAGGGACTGACACGATTTTCCTCTCCCTGTAACTGGGCGGCCAGAGAGCTGGGCTGGGCCGGCCGCACGGCCTCAGTGAGCCTCTCAGGACCAGACCGAGTGGTAAGTACTGATCTGACGGCAAACTGGGCCGGCTGCTCTCGAAGGACAGGCCAAGAGGGGACCCGCCGTGCGATGGCAGCTCTGAGCAAGGCTTGGGATAGCGCTGCTGCTGTCAGGAACCCTGGCAAGATCTGCTGTGAGCGCTCCGCCCTTCCCACTCCCATCCCCAGCCCTCCCGGCAACCTCTGCGGCCTTTTGTTGGGGTATCAAATGCTGTCCTCAAAGAAGACGAGCTCCTATTCTCTGGATCCATTACTTCGGGGAGACAGTCTCCGTGGGCTCTTCTCAGGTTCTCTGGAAGTGACTGGGCTCCCGTGCCCCGCCCTGGGCCGGGGAAGGAGCCCGACCTGCTCTAATCTGTGCTGTCTCCCGCTGTCTAGCCCACTGAAACCGATCCCTCACATCAAAATCCGCCCCCCCCCCACTACCACCACCAGCCACGACCACCGGCCTCAAGTAGGTTGGCTGGAATGGAGCTGCGCACACAGCCGTGTGGACA